GCAGTTAGCCAAGACCTGTGGTTTCCATTTAAGAGGGGGGGGGAAGAAAAAGGCATTTTGCCCAAAAGTAATGGAGAGAAGCAGCAGGTTCAGTAGTAGAATACACCCACCAACATCTTTTTTTAAGTCAGTAAAATATAAAGCAATACTAAATTTACTTGGCATACTTGTATTTTTTATATAAGTCAGATATTTCTTTTTGCTTTCCTAACTTGAAGGCTGTGGGATTGTTTCCAAACAGTCTGGTGCTTTAAGGGTCAGGAGCCTTGTAAAGAACAAACAAGAGACTAAATTTTGCTTTTGCTTATACTGGGTTCATGCCAGAATAACTGAAGTTACTGGAGTTAGTTATCCTTGTGCAAATCCAGAGTAATAGAATAAACTGAGCTTTCTTGTCTTGCTGTAAGGAGAACTGAAAACTAAGAAATGTATTTCTGTCAGGTGACTTTTCCTATGTTAAGCCAGGCAACAATGAAACTGCTCTTACCTCCTGGTTTTGTTCTATTTTTAACTATAGTTGTCCTTCTGAATTTGTGTTGGTGTTCCTTGTGAATGACAAGACCTCAGAGTATAAGGAAAGGCTCTAGAAAAGGGCTCTGGCACAGCTAAGTTTTTTCAACGTTGTGGGAAAACATCCCTAATGAGCACATAATCTTTGACAATCACTTGTTTGCTGTTTGCTCACATCCATTTTCTTTGACAGTGTGATCCTGAACAGAGGAGGCTGTTTCTCAGCAAGTGTATCTTTGTTCTGGCACTTTGTCTAGGATTTTAAGCAGTGGTTCATCTCATGGTGCAAGTATTTCCAGCTTGTGACTGTTTTGTAGGTTAGTGTTCCCTATTTCATCATGACCCCTTGAGGGACGGTCCCACTTGGCTGCCCACTATAGTTGCTATGCCACAATGTGGCTTCTGCTGTTACCCCATTTCTAGAGTAGAATCTGAATGAACAAAATTAAATTGTAAAGTCATGAAGCAAATAAACTTCTTACTGTCAGAAAGGTACTGTAGTCATATGAATCCTTTCCTACCCTGCAGTTTCTAGCCATTTTCAAGTGCATTGCTTAAGGGGATTAGAATTGGAATTGGAATGATTAGGCTGGTAGAGAGATCAAGTCTGATCTCCCATGTGAAGCAGGGCCGACCTCAAGTATCTGTGGTGTGGGGGGAAATCCACTGGTTTTTCTATTCCTGAGTTGAGGAGGGAGGGAAGCAAATGTGAACTTGGATGGTTTGTTAGAATGATGACATCCACTTTTGCTGTTTTCCTCTCTTGCATTTCATCTCATGTTCAAAGTGTGTTACTGTTCCTAACAACATCAATGGCGATGTTCAATTGCAACTGTCTAGATTGCTAAAACATTTTTGTTTCTACACTAATAGAAACTGTCAGTGAGAGGGACTGTTGGACTAAAGACTTTAATGTTGTTTTTTTTATTTCCCACATTCTCAAGCCAGTGCATTGAAGAAAGCATGCGTTTTAATTATTATGTAAATAATAACAGTGGGAAAAAAAAAAGTTCAAATTTCATTATGTAAATAGCAGAAGTTGTAGAAAACTTCAAGGATGACACCGATGTCCTGTATGCTTTCACAGCACCCTTGGCATTTTCCCAATTCACAGCTGACTATATAATTCAGGCAGTATGGCTTAGGAAAGATATACAGCATATTCAACAGCCGTGAGGAATCCAAGCTGACAATATACATTTACACAGGTTAATAGTTCTTAAAACCAATTTCAGTGCAGTGGTTCTGGAATCAGCTTTCTAATAATTGTACAGCTGCCTGGGCAACTGGAAAATTTGACTGGTATGTTTAGACTAACAGTGGAATATGTCTAAGAAGCAGAGCAACAGAAATTTGTCATTTCAAAGTTTTAGTTGGATCAGGGACAGACCTAAAAGTTCAGACCTGTTTAATGTCAAAGTTACCCTAGCACAGAAAGCATCCAGCCCCCCTGGAGATGTCAAAGAGCATCAGGAAGAAATAGCAAACCAAGTAATTTTTGCTGAAGGTGCCGCATGGTCTTTGAAAAGTCACTTTCATGACAGTTCTGTCTGCTACCACAGGCTGAGCTTATTTGTTTATTAAAACTGGGTATGAGTGTACATGCAGAGATCGTGCCATTATGCAAAAAAGAAGTCCTTAACTTTGGCCATACGCAACCTGAATAATAAAAGTTAGCTGTCATTAACCTTACTGGCCCTCCTCTCTAAAATGGTTTCTATCTAAAGCTGACAGGCTCACATCAGTAGGCAGTAGTACCAAGGCAGGAGCAAGTCTGTGGGTGTTGAAAACAGATGCAGCCTGCAAAAATATTTTAATAATGTTTTTAATTTTGCATGGAGGCTGACTACGTATTTGTATTGTATCTTGGGAGCAAACAGGAGAGCCCCAGGCTCCCACCCGCACTTGTTTATCATAAACGCCTTAACATTCTCCTCATAATAAGGGAGCGGGAGGATTTCTGTGGGGCTGAGGCAGAACTCTAAGCAGCATCTTAAAGCAATGATGCAGGTGAGGGGCCTGCTAAGCCTCAAAGAGTACTTTTTGCCACATCTAGAATGTGGCTGTATCTGTACAGATTATAAAACAGTAAAGAGGGAGAGAAAGGGAGGGCTGTTTTCAGCATCCTCAAGAACTTGCTTAACCAGTAAATCTAAGATTCTGGTAACTTTTTGTGGCACTAAAACAACTCTAAAAGGAGCTGTGGAGGAGCAAGTAGATGAGATTCTGAAGGGATTTCTCACTGTTCAAACCTCAGGTCAGACCCAGATGCCAACAGCATCCTTGTGGCCAGGCAAGCAGAGAATGTAGTTCTGTGTACCATTTCCTTACTTTCAAAGCTCATGATCATTTATAGACATATAAGAGGGGTTTTAATGCTGGTGACACTGCCAAGAGTATCTAAACCCTGATAATTTTATTGAGGATGGATTCTAATCCACAGTTTTTACCATCTTTTTCTTTCTTTCTGATATGCTAATCTAATGCACCATCATTTTTGATGGTGTGTCATCAAGTAAGGGATGGCTTTTTGGAAGTACATAGTGCTCAGGCAACTCTTTCATAGCACTTACGGGATTTTCTAGCCTGCCCTGAATTAGGAAGTGTAAATTTCAGTTATATCTAAACACTGTCAAATGTGTATCTTGGTTCTGTTACTTGGTTGTGTTTTATTTAAAAATCTGAACAGAAAGAAAGGCTTGTTTTCTCCCAGGAGCTGTCTTGGAAAAATTAATAACAAATGTGCTTTTAGATGGAAGCAGAAGCTGTATGGGGTAGGATGAGTAACTCTAGAACAGTGTAATGTAATCAGCTGTTCTGAGCATTTAGAGTTCCTCCATGTGGATCAGACAGAGTCTTAGGGCTTTTAGTTCAGTGCCTTTGTATAGCTGCCAGTCAAGACTGAAAATACATGGTATGTGTTTGTTCATAGGCAGGATTAATGTTAAACTTACAGGCTTGATGGATCTATGTATGATCCTAGGAAAAACTTCAATATTGAGTGCTCCACAAATGGTGCTTGTTCTCTTCCGAATGAGAGTGTGTTACTTTGGTTATGAAAGTGTGCTATATTCTACATGAAACTATTACCTGCTAATTCCAACCATATGCTCCCCCAATGGAGCAATTTCAGTCTGCCATTTGCCAGGGTTGCCTGCTGTATGCCTAGAGTTAATTCAGTGCCTTCTGTTCTTTGATCACAGAGTAAGCTCTCAAATGCTAGATTGATAGTCTGTGTTGGCAAATCATGGCAAATCCGAATCAGCCACTAGTTTTAGGTGCTGTTTACTATATTGGTGTCTGAGTGATTTATATTTTATTATTAGGATGAAAGACGTCACTTTCTTAGCTGACTTAGAGCTATACAGTCCTTAAAAGTAGACCAGTCTTCAGAGTTTTAAGGTACCACAAAGAACAAGAGATGAAAATTTGCGGTTTTCAGCAGCCAGCAGCAGAAGTGTGTGTGTGTGTAGGACTGCAACTGGGAAAAGATAAGGGAATTGTCACTGTGATTGTTATTTATTAGAAAACCATTCATTTTACTGAACTGCTGTGGTCTAAACTTTTCCCACCTTACCTGGGCACAGCAGTCAATTCCATGCCCCTCAAGTATTTGCAGTGGCTAGAACCAGCATGTCATGATGCCAGTTGAAGGTCATAGAAGTTTTGCATGAAAAAAGAGTTTGATGGATCACAATATTGGGTTGAAAGATTAAAGATGTTTAAAGGCTTCCATCTGGGATTCCTAAATCCATGAAAACTATGGACTGAAATGTTTTAAAGAGTTAATGAATTATAAATAAGAAACCTCATTCATTAATTGTAAGTGTGTGCTCAATCATGGGTACAGATACTCAAGCTAATGCTACAAAAGGAGTGTTATAAATGTGTGGTAGAACTACAAATATCACTCATATACCACTTCTGGTGGGGAAAGAGGTGTAGCCAGACTGTGAAAGATGGGAAGGCTAAAATTTCATAATGGTGATGTGAGTTGAAAAGTTGGGAAACTATGAACAAGTTAACAAAAATAAATAGCTGCTCTGGTGTTGAGCTTGATTCTCAGAGCTGCGATCAGCTATGTTCTGAGAGTTCAGACACTGGCAGTGAATCAAATATTTCTTCCTTCTCCAGCATCAGTAGTCCTAACATGCCCCTTTGGGGAAAAAGTGTTTTTTCACTTTGAGCATATGACATTATCTTGAGCTAACCGACTGCTCTATGAACATTTCCAAAAGGACAAGTCTTATATTGCAGAAGGCCAAGAATGCAGCTTCATTTCCTCTTTCAAAGTTTAACCTAAAAAAGTTGTTTGCTCTTTTTGTATGGATTTAATTTGGAGCACATATGTCCAACATATGTAACAGCATCAAACAGTTACCTGATGCTCTTCAAAACAGTGTGAATAAAGCAATAACTTCAAGGTATGTGTGGGTAACTGTACAGACTGGTATGAATTTGCATCCAGAGCTGCTTGGTTTCTGTTTTGTAACAGTAGTCTCTGTTAAGAGCAGCAGCCTTTAAAACGGAGGCCTAGATTATGTGAACGTATGTCTCACTTTTATGTATGGTGTATAGTGTAAGTGTTTGAAACTTTTCAGCTTCATTTTCATAGCAGCTGATTCCCTGCATCCCAGACTTCTGTAAGATTCACTGTATTTACTTGGAATCTTTAAAATTATATGAAGAAGGTAAAAAAAATCCTTTCCTTTTGTAGAGCATCTTTTTAGGAGCAGACATTTTCATATTTTTTTGCCAGTGTTCTGAGCGCTTTGTTTTACTTTTAATGTAGTAACTCAAAGTAAATTTTACAGACTCACAGGCTCAGCTATCTGAAATATGATCATCTGTCAGAAGCCCTCAGTGGGACAATTACAGCCCCCACATCCTCCCACAGCAAACATGATTATGGGAGAAGAATGCTTGAGGCCTGCAAGTGAGATTAGTAAATGTGAAGTACTCTTGCTTCAGTCTTCACAAAATCACCTGCTACAAGTCTTGGTAATGAGATAGGTAAGATTGAATGTGTGTTCTACATTAATACTGACTTTATATGTTTTGAATTTTTTTCAGCATCTGTCTTAATGATGTCTGTGTAAATTAGATCCACATCTCTTATTTGTTTTTATGTTCTTTACAGAGCAAATGTATCTTTACGTACTCCTTTGGTATGAAATACAGTGCATATCCAATACCTGCTCCTTATTGTTGAGTGCTCTCAGCATTGCTTTTCTACCTGACTCTTCTTTTCTTTCCTTCCCAATATCTTTCTTCTTGAAAGCAAAAAGACCCCTAGAATCATTCCTTCCTAAAGTTTTTCAGCAGTTCTTCCTTCCTACCTCTATTTCCACAACTTACTTGATCTTATTTTCAGGTGATACACACTTTATTGTCACTTACATGTACGTAAAGCAAGGGCAAAATAGGTCTAAGATACCACTCTAATTTCAACAAAGAGTGCTGTGATTTGTTAATGCTCTGCACAGATTGCAGAGCCCTAAGGTGCCTGGTGGAAAAACATCCTCAACAGCAAGTGACAAAGTCCAGAATCTTGCTGTGCCGTAGACAGATCAGGCATTCTAGTGATGGTCCTTTACAGGAAATACTTCACGGGGAGCCTGAGCTCTGAATCAGGTTTTTCTTTCTTAGTTTAGAAATTAGTTCATAAAGGTGTATATAAGAAGGTAACAGTTATTTGTTGGGAACAATAATATTACTAATAATGATAGAATCCTCAGGCACTTCAGTGAGAAAATGCATGTATTTATTCCTTTGAGTCTTAAGTATGTCAGATGAAAATTTAAGCTATAGATATATTACATGGAAAACCATATGGCTCGATTCATGCTTGGAAAGACATTTGACTTGGCTAAATTCATTTCTCAGCAAGCTTGCCCTTGCTGTCTGCAGGATTTTGGGGATTGTAACTGGAATGCAGACAAGGCTGACATGTCCTTCAGCATTTTTAGCATGATCTAGGTATGAGCACAGGTGGGCAATTAAAGTCTTTGTGCTTCATTTCCCACTGGGTGTCAGTTGTCATTTCACTCCCACGATTGGAAATAAATATCAGTGATGATGAAGCACTCTCTTCTATGTTCTGTAATCAAATGGAGGCATAGCAACATCTGAAAATGTAGCTTATTGTGTCAGGGATGCTTTTGGCACTTCTTTTCCTAGCCCAAAGGTAAAGATTATCTAATCCTTGCTTTTTGATATGTTTTTTTTTTCTTGGAGATGCCTGCCACATCTCTGGTGATGTGGATAGTGTATTTGTTGTTGCAGCTGTTTTGGAAAAACAAAGGGATCCAGAATAACATCTTCTCCTTTTGTGGAAGTGAATGCCTGAAGTCTCTGCAGAGAGTAGTGGAAAGTAGCAAATAGTGCTGAGTAATGTGGCCTTTGTTCACAGAAAAGAATACAGGAAGAAACACTATGTAGAACTGTAAATGAATTCCAGTACAATAGGGAATTGTATTAATAAGAAAAAAGAAAGGAACAGGAGCAACTCCAGAAAAGATGTGAGATTTGGGGGGATCACATAGACTAGGTTTTTGGGTTTTATGGTGATTATGAATGCTGTTTTGTGGAGTTTGTTTTAATATAAAGTACTGTTTGTAGTAGAATCACACAGATTTTGTGCATCCTGCATCTAATTTTTCATTTATAAGCCACAATTGTATACAACAACAGAGCAACTAATTTTCCATGTACAGTACAGGTAATTTGCTTGCTGTGATACAGAACATAAAAGATAGCGAAATCTTGGTTTGCTTATGACTCAGGCACAGAGTCTCCAGACTGACCTTTCAGTGTCCATTAATTTGGCTTCAAGAAGCTGACTGTTTTTTTTATCATCCCCTCATTTTTGTAAAGGCAGCCTGAAGTATGGTTCTGAAAGTAAGAGCAATCTTGTTCTTCCAACAAAAGCTCATTCTCCTGCCTTGGTATTACCCAATATTACTTAGCTCTTGTCTGGCAAGGTTTGGTGGGTGGAGGAAGGGAATAGGTTTTATTTTGAGATTTTAAAAGGAACTGCATTTTATATTAGCTTCACAGTTTGTTTTATTCCTGTCCAATAAAAAGCTGCTTTTCCATGGGGGCCTGAGGAGAACTCATTCAAGATGAAAGGAAGTGGAATGCATCTGAAAGAGCAGCCAAATTTTGATGGCTTTTTCTTGCTGATGGTATGAGCAGTTAAATCTTTTAAAAGGCGGTGTTGCTTTCCTTTTAGTCCTATTGGTTGTACAACTCTTACCCATCTTTTGTGGACGTATCATACTTCATCGTTTGCCAAAACCCGCTTGCTTAATTAAATTCTTTTAAGAGCATACCACTCTTCTATGAAGTTAGAAGGATTATATGCAGCTTGGTTTTCCCCTGGTACTTTCAGGTTGGTTTTGATCATTGCCTTCATATATTGGATTACATTTCCTTTATGTGTTGCTTAGTGGCACAAAATGAGTATGGCAGTCTTGTGTGGCTAGTATAATATTCATGCTTCATTACGTAGAGAAACATTTATTGCTGTTGAATAACCTGTTGGACCTAAGGTGTTTTTTCCCCTTAAAATAGTCACTTGGCTCCATGTGCTTGAGGTGCATAGTGTCTCATGTTTGAGTGATTTAAAATAGGAAACGCGGGCAGGACCACACGCAACTCAGTTTGCGCGGCATTACTGAAATCCGGCTCATGCTGATGGGAATTACAAAACTGAAAGTGTTACACTTCCTAAGTACATTTCTAATGAACATTGTTGTACAGCAACAATGTCTGCTCAAGTTAGTAATGCTTCTTACCCTTTAAAACCTGTTGGCCTATGCTGAATTCTGGTCTGCTGCACCTGACCAGTTCTGGTGCCTGTCTTGATGGCTTGCATGGAAAAGCTCCTCTCAGTGAAACATTGGAATGTGTAGTCTCTGTATCCATTCACTGGTAGGCAGCTCAGTTTGCATCCAGAAGATACTGCCACACTGTAAATGAAGCATGTAGCTGCCACTCAGTCCTCTTAAGGTGTGAGCAGAATGATTATTTTCATCTTTGTGGCAGTTTAACTATCATCACTTTCAGGTGATCTTCCTGCTTAACTTGGACTCCGTGGACAGTAATTTCAGTACAGTAACACAGCTGAACATGTCTTTTGTTAAAACTTCAAACTCAGGGAAGTGATCAGTTCTGGGGGTTAACACACAACATCGGAGTTTGCCTCAGTACTGTGGCCAAGTATCGCTTCTTATCAGAAACTTCATCACCTCATAGAGTACTTCATGACATAAATTGCACAGAGCATTATTCTCAGTGGAAGAGTTGAACAGTTTCAACAGTGTTGGAAAACAGGTTGAATTTTTAAATAGAGAATGTATTACATCTGCCTTAGTTTTTTTCCTGAGTTGCTCAGCATCAGAAATGGTTTATCACTTAGTTTTTCAGGAAGCTCCCTGCTCTTTGTTGTTCACATTTCTAGTTGTTCAGAGGTTGCAGACTTAAGGGTCAAGACCTTTTTTTTTTTTTTTTCTTTGGTGGTTATTTGTTCCAATTTTCTTCTTTTTTTGTCATACTGGTTTTTTTTACCCAGCAATAATTTTTGCATTTTTCACAATCAAAGCACTTACTGTCATGTCCATACGTTAACATTCAGAGGAGCTAATCTGAGCACTAGTCAGAGAGTCCACTAGTTGGTTTCTATCAGCAGCTATTTTCATGAAGTGATCCCAGTTGCCCTTTTACCAGGAAGGTGTGAAAAGCTATATACACTTAACCCATCTGGCTAATTTCATACTTTGTGCTTTGTATCAAGGGAGCTACTTTCCTGTTGCAGCATTGCCTGTCATTTAGTTACGTATCTGAATTCTTTCAGACTGTGATGTCAATTCATAAGCTTATAATGGTCATTTATTGCCTGCAAGTCTTAATTAGGTTTTTTTGTTTCCCTTCATTTTAACATTTCAAATATGTCATGATTTATTCTATTTTGCTTCATTTGTGAGGAATAAGCGCATATCTTGTTCATATTTTAACCACTCTGTATCTTGTTTTTCACACCAATGGATTTTATTAGTTCCCTCTGTTTCATATTATCAACTAGAATTCTTAATTATTTAAATGTCTCCTCAAAATCTAACCCTCCACATAGTTATACTTTATATCCCTCCCTGCTTTTGCAGTGCACTCAGCAAATGTATGAGTACTGCTTCAGGTTTTCATTGCTTTGCTCTATGGTAGCAACAAATTGTCTCCATCAAAAGTTATCATGCAAAGATTGCAAATGTAAAACCAGAATGAAATTCTGTACATGTAATTGCAAGTGCAGAGTATTCATGCACAATTTGAAGAGTTTATGTACAGCAAAGCCTGCAATTGGTAGTAATTTTTCAGCTTTATGGTGGATTTATTTTGGTGATTTCATCATCTTTGCCAAAGATAAAGGATGTTTCATATGGAGTAATGGAGAAAGGGTTTATTGTCTTCAATGCTGGAGCTGTGATCAATAGTGGGCATTTAAACTTCAGATGGCAGAGGAATCTTAATTGGACCCCATGTAATAAGGTCGACTGTCAGAGTGCTGTGTAACTGAAGGAATTAATTTTCTCCAATACTTGGTTTGTCTTTCATTACAGTTGTGTAATTCCGAGTTGCAAAGATGAGTGGTCATGCAGAAAATCTGTGACAGAATTTTTAGACTGCTTCTGAAGCCTTGCACACTGAGCATCTATAATGTTACTAAATTAATGAGTAAAGGGAATTCCACGGTGCGTGAATGATAACAAAATGACATTATCATTCGTTCATGTTTTTATGCAGGGCAGTTATACAGGGTGAATGAGAGTATGTAATGGGAAGACTTAATTGATTAAAACCTTTGTGCAGTAAGTGGGAACTTCAGTTTGAGCTACATGCCATTAAAAACTGAACTCTTGATTGCTGTTCGACAAAATCAGTACAGAACAGAAGTCTCTAGTGAATCTTGCGCTGCAGCAGTAATGCAGTTTAACAATAAAAATCAATGCCTGGACCTGAAGTCTGGCATTTAATATAGTATACATGGTTTATGTCTTTCATTGATTTTTATGGTCCCTTAGGCCATCTGTTAATTTACTACATCTGTCTGGATCTGGAGGTCAGTAACTTAAAGAAATGTATTATTTTCTGCTTGTTCTGTATTGTGTGTGGGTTACAGCAACTAACTGTTGCTTTTGAGAATGTTGCTCGAGGCATTTGACCCATATACATCTCGAGACAAAATACCACTGCCCAAGTAGTGGATAGGCAGGAGTGCTCCTTTCAGAAAACCAAGCAGAGTAATCCACAGTCTACTTTTTTAGTAAGTGTCCTGAGAGTAACAAACACAAGTTGTTGGGGTTTTATTATTATTGTTCCTTTTTAAGTCTAATGGACTCTTTGTTAAAATGCAGTTTTCACACAACTAATTTTATTCAATTTATGTATACCTTGTAGCAATATCAGGACTGGAGGTTGGTTACAAATAGAACCTGTGTCATCTTAAACTACTTAACAGCAATGGATGAAATATGTGAGAGTTTCACTAATTCATAATTTAGTAATCAAGCATTTTATAATTTGCCTGAGAAGAAATTGCATCTTATCTTCGTCCGTCAGTGAAGATTTAAGAGCTATGTGCCCTGAGCTTTCATTTCAGCAACAGTTCTTTCCCAAAACACAACCCCATGCATATTTATGAATGTTTTATAGAATAGAAGTATAACTTCGTTCTTAGGATTTCCCAGCAAGTCTCAGAAGTTTTTACTATTAACTAGTTTATTCTTTGCATATGCACACAGTACATTTTGTCCTCTGCTATATTATCCTTGAGGTATTTGTATGTAATGGAAAATAAAATGCTTAAATGTAGCCAAGTGCTTGAATTCACAGGTCTTGAATGCTACTGGGAATCCAGCCTTGTGTTTTGACTCACAGCCTTCTCTCTACCAGTAACAGTTCTTCTTGACTGGTGAACTACTAAACCCAAACTGAAATCACCAATCATTTGCAAACCTAGAATACAGTTCACTTTCAAGTTGCACCAGAAATCTTTCATTTGGTAAGTTGCAGTGCATGCTCCAAAAAAAAAAAAAAAAGGGGGTGGGGGGAGAAGTTTCTCTGTCCAAACATGGTAAAGAATTTATGAGAATTGTTTTGGAATTACTGCTGAATCACTCTTAAAATACTTAGGAGAGATCTCTGAAAACTACACAGTGATGTGAAGCAAATGGGCTGCAAATATCTGTCCTGCTACTTCTTTAAGAAAGACAATAATTAATGCATATAATTTTCCCACTGTACATTTTACAGAGCAATCACAACGTCTGTTGTGAGATAGAAAGTAGGGTTAAGAGAAGCCATCTAGCATACACCTATTGTTTATTTAGTTGTAAGAACTGCAACATCCAATAGTGTGCAAGGGTTGTCCCATACAAAATTACATCCTTTTACTGCTTTTGTTTTGGTGTAATCTTAGACAATGACAGTGTAGCTATGGCTGGTGAAGTATACCACACACAAACAAACAAATAGCTTATTTTGTGTAGTTACAGTAGAAAAAGAAATATTCCTGATGTTGCAGCTTATTTTGGTTCTTCCAGTGGTGACAGAAGTGGAACAGTATTTTGAAAATGGGACTTGTATGTGTTTTTATTAGGCCAGTTTGTTTCTTTGCAATCAAAGAGAGTATTATACCTCACCCTTAAATTCCTGCTTTGCCTATTCGCAGATTAACCTGAACAGCTCTTGCCTGTATCATCTGTCTCTTCAGAATTTTGCTGCATAGCCTGTTACAGCAAACCATGAGACATGTACACAAGCCTACAGGGGTATATCTGTGGCAAGTGGTACCTAATTCTGTCTTCAGCTCTTAATTTAATCAACCAGTACTCACTAATTCCCCAAACATAACTGGATTATCAGCACAGTCAAGTTTCTAATCAGTTACAGTTTAAACTGGTTGGACTAGATGATCTCTTGAGGTCCCTTCCAACCCTTGGGATTCTGTGATTCTGTGAACCATGTTACAAAGCCACTTTTACATTGTAGGGTTACGCAGGGAAACCCTACAAAGGCAAGGTGCTGCTGCATAGTCTCTAGCCTGGATAAACCTCCCAAGTTCATAGGCTCTCATATTCTAATAAGCTGTTTCACATAGGTTGGGTTTTTTACCCCTCAATAGAATGTCAGTCGTGCTGAAGGACTCTGTTGCCATCCACCAGCTTCTGTTTAGAAAATAATTATACATTTTATAATCTTCAGGAGCCTCGTAGTAGTGGCATTAGAATAGAAATGGAGTTTTTGAAGAAAAGAACTATCTTTCAGACCTCAGATCTACACTTTCCTCTTGGTTTCTTCCAGCAAGGAATGAGAGGTAATCCAAGAGGGAAGTGAGTTTAGCTCTGGTAGCTTGCCTAACATTTTCAGGCTGCTGACTTGGCTACCATAAAATATGTCAAGCTCAGACATGAGTTACCTCATCTTTAAGCAATTGCCCCAGAACAGTACTTTAATATGTTACACTGCAGAGCTGAACTTGAGTAGAGGTCAGTGCAGTCTCCACATCGGTTTTCCAGCAATAGTACTGATACTCAGAACACAATGCAAATGTTCCTGTACAAGCAGAACATAATCTAGTAACCTTCTAATAGTCAGAGCTGGTAGTTCAGTTTTACAAAGTACGTTTTCCAGACATTTGAAGCCTCTGCAGGTACTGAAAAATCAGCTTAATAACTGTGTAACTGGAAAGTTACGGTGCCTGCTGATTTAACACTGCTAATGAAAAAGCTTCCTGAAGCTTTTCCAGGAATTGCATCCAAATACTGAGTGCCTTTAGCCCTTAAGATCTGCTATATCCACAACACTTAACTCCTGCACAGTAATGGATATTTTTGGCTTTGTCAGTGTGTCAGTAGTGACACTAAAAGAAACTTGGAAAGTTTTTGGTGAAGACTTCAAGTAGCGGGGACTTAATTATGCTCTCAACAAAGTCAACATAGTATGTCACTGGATTAGAATCCGTTTAATGCTTTCAGAGTTGAAGTCCACAACTATACTAGGGTGAATGTGATTGCTTGGGTGACTGGAGAAAGTTTAAGACTGTATATGGGGCTGCAGTTTTAACTTCTTAAAGAACTTTGAATCTTTATTAATTGGGTATGCTCCAGTCCATATATACTACAACTTATACTGCAGTTTAAAAAGCCTATAGACATGCTAATTTTAAACTCCCATTTTGGAAGTGTAGTTTTAATTGTGAATTGATCTCTTTCTTGAACACAGAGTCTTCATTAACATAGATTCACTAATGCCAGATCTTGGGCAATCTACAGGTGATGATGAGATGTACATCCTCGCAAAGTGTCTGATGGTTCATCAAACATTTGCAGAAGGCTTGTTTTTCCAGACACAGGTAAGTTTGTGTTAGTACCAGCAGCTTTGCTGGTATCTATATCTGCTCAGAAGCTTACATGCAGTCACCGGCTCTTGCAAGGGCTAAAATAACTTATATTCCGTCATGAGCAGTGACAGCAGACCTTTCTGCAGCTCTCAGAGCCGACAGAACCTCAGGGAGGGGTCCAGTGGTTCTGAGAATTAAGCATAAAAATCAAACCGCAGTGGACTGCACCTCTAAAATACATGGTGGCTCCTAAAAATGCCCTGTGTACAGGGAGTGGATGTGAGTGTACTGATGACTCTCTGTGGTCTGCCCAACCGGATGTGGACAGGTTTTGTGTAGAACTGGTAGCCCGTGTGGTTAGCTGTAAGAGGGAAACATCTGTTTCTGAATAGCAGTGCACACCTGAACATGACTCAGCTTGTGGCAGTAGCTGCCGATGCCCCATCACTAATGAAAACATACCACTATTAACAGAGATGTGATGGAAATGCAGGAAGCAGGGATAGGAAAATACTGTCTGCATGCAAAAAAATGCTTTTGAATCTACTGTTGTCACTCCTGAAGAATTAGATGAAAAGAGAGGCAGAAAGCCACTGAGATAAAAAATCAGCTCTTCCTGTGCACTGTTCATTTTATTACAGTTGTCTTTTACCACACGTTGTTATCAAGTGCTTAATAATCAGTACTAAACCTAATTCTGGGGTAACTTCTGAGAAATTGTTACAGCATTAGCAGCTGGAAGAATGTGCTGCCTGCTAATTATTTACATTATCTGACTCCCAGAATAACAGCTGGCAACCAACACAGTCTGGAACAATACCCAGTACCCAGATAAATGCCACGTTTATGTAGGTGTAGGAGCGAACTATGTAATCTCTTAAAGCCACTGCCTTCAGAAGTCATTAACATGCGATGTAGGGACTAATTTGGAGTACATCCTGTACTGATGTGTCTTAAGTAAATGCTTGCAGTTGTATAATGTGACAGAAAAGAGTTAAAGAGTCACTGCATGGGTAGCTTGTCTAAAAGTCAGCCAAGACAGCTGTGATCTTTGAAAGATGACTGTCCTGGCTAATTTTGAGAAGAAGAATATAAAGGTATTAGTTGCGAAATCTCTGCTGGTGTTCCAACATGTGCAGATTAGTTCCCCATTTCTTCCAAGGTGTTTGAATGCAGAGAGCTAAGCAACACCACCTTCATCACAGGTAGTGGAAGCATGACTTACTACCAGAACTGCTTTCAGTTCTGGACAACTTGTGATTGCAAGGGCAAAACGGTAAACTCAAACCATATATTGCATCCTTTCAGAGTGTAAGCTTGTTCAGTCTGTTTCCCAACGTGGCAGGTTTCAGTCTGTTTCCCAATTTCCCCCTGGTTCCTTCAGTATGTATCTTCCCATGGGACTAGTGCGAGGAGTTCTACATGTGCTCACTCTGCCTGGGGATGCAGCATTAGTGGGTCCTGTGAGGTCTTGATCCATAATGAGTCATTTGACCCTCTTCATATTTTGCCTTAGAGAATGGAAGGATCATGCAGACATCCTTTTAAGGAGCCAGCGTGCTCCTCCAGTGACAAAAAGGAAGATGCTGACAAGCTGTGGCTCTTCAAGTCTTTATGCCATTTTTTTTAAGAGAAGGAGGATGTTCACTCTTGGGCTCTTTGCATTATTTCAGTCTAAATGCAACTTGTACTTTCACTTAGTTAAGTGTGCTTTATTTGCTGCTCTGCCCTGCCAAGTTGTAGTGCTTGAACAGTGGACATACTGTTTTCCCTGAAGGCAAATATAGTCTTGTGAAGGACAAAGTACCTGAGGAACACTTAGATGAAAAGGAAGTTTAGGAATTGTATGGCCTAGTTGTCAAATAAAAATCCCAAAATGTTTTTTAATCTTACAGAGGAACGGTCAGCTCCATTCCCCCCACCTCCCACAATTCATTTACTTTGCAATGTGTATTAGTGATGTAGATGTGTACTGTATTGTGTGCTTGAGAATATGCAACTGAGGTTGCGCTATACAGGCTGAAAATATGGGGCAAAAGCAATGATAATAAAACAGTCTGATTGAATACAGTGCTGTTTGTGGCATCTGGCTGTCATATTTCTATTTGCTTGTCTCATACAAGCACTCTGACAATTAATCAATGTTGATATGCTCCTCTGAATGTGCAAAGGATTGCACAGAGTAAGTGCCAACATGCCCATATGCCTTTTGGCAGAACTGGATGGGCTCAAAAAAAGAATGTTTGACTCTTCAAGTTGGACAGATTTTCACTGGGTGTAATCTTCCCTCAAAAAGGAAGGAGCTAATAATGAAGCAATATTCTGAGGGCTGTGAGCAAGAACTTTTTTGCTATTCTTGCTGCACGTATTCAGAAGAGAGTGGTAACAATGCATGTTCAGGCCACTCATTTTTTATCTACGTTAACAATATAGTCACAAATTTTCTACTGTTTACGGCAGTATTCTGGCTGACATGCACTGCTTATTGATGGTAAAAATCTTCTCATGCACTTCCAAGGGAAAACTGGGAAGTCTTGCTCTTCCACCTACTGTCTATATATCTCGAAAATTGCATTGGAACTTTCACTGAAACTTCCTATTTTGTCACAAACCGGCAGAGATTGGGCAGTTACACTGGAAACTGTCCCAAAATTGTCCAACTAGTTCTGGTGCTGCAGGCATAATTGAGTCTCTGTAGCAGTGCAGTGCTGCCAGTGTTTGCATATTGTTAGTGATAGTTACAGAGGAGAGTTGTGTGAAACATTCCCATCCTACACTGGTGTTTCAGGGTGGGTTTAAAACAAATAGCAATTCTTGGCCCCATAGTGCTTTGGCAATTCCATCCAGTTTTCCCTTTAATGTTTTCCACATATGGTTGTGAAATCCAGTGTCTGACTTCTTTTCTAAATATAGAATCATCAGTCTTAAAAATGAGTGATGCTGTAAGTCTCATTTGTTTTCATTGTATTGCAAAAGGAGAAAGAAAGGTCTTGAAGTGTTGAGCATTCTTCTGTTGTCCCTTCCACAGTCACTTTTGTTTTCCTTCTTTTGCTTTACTGTATGTTGGGAAATATCTCCTTTTCAGTTTTGAAACAAGAAGCATATAGCAAAGAGCACTTTACCGGTGGAAGAGCAGCCATGCCGAAGCAGTCCGTGTCCCACTATTAACAGAGAGCTTGATTTTTGCACAGCTGTGGTTATTACCATGTTAGCATTTGTAGGACAAAAGCAGAGATGATGGTATTAGCAAAGACCAAGCTTACTGTTTTCTTAGCTGAATTTAGAGCTTTTGTGTCTTCCACTGCATTACCAAGCTGCAACCTCCTTATATGCTTCTACTTTATTAAGGTGATCAAAAGGAATTGCCTTTAAATTAATGATGGAGCAAGATTTTGATGATGCAAGATTGTGTCTCAGAAATGAAAAGTGACTGAAGGTAAGTCTGGATTGTGAAAGAGGAAGTGATGTGATTCTGATTCCTCCCTGCCATGAATCTTCATGTATTTGTTATCTACACAAAAAGCAGGGAACAACATGTGATTTTAGTAATATGCTTAGAAAAAAATCAGAGGTTTTGAAGAGTGTTCACCACTTTAGCAGAGTTTGCCACTGCCAAATTCACTTACAACTATTCAGAAGGAATTCCAGCACTGCAGATTTCAGTTTTAGTGGCCTGTAACACCCCCAAACTGCTCCACTTCTTTTGGTACAGGAAAGAAAGTGTTACGTCATGTTAAGAAAGAAAATCAGTAAATGGCACTTTAAAGCAAAGTTTTATTCAGACAGAGAAGCAATTATAGGAGCCTGCAACGAGCAGTCCAACTGATGGTGGTCTCTAAAACGAAGAGAGTCCTTCTTGGGTAGTGGGGGGAAGATACAAAAATATAAAGTTCTTTTCAAACTGCCCATTTCTTTAAGTCAGATTCAAGAGATTTCATCGTGCTAATGTAAACGTTCTTTTGAATAACTTAAAAGGATGTTGGAAAAATCAATATGCGAGGACAAAAGCTAATTCCAATAGATGATGAGAAATACGTGAGAACATAATGAAAAAGGATTGTTCACTTTCTGTCATTATGGATTACGAAGGCACCTCAGAGTTTGGGCCTGATTTGTTGCAAATTACGTATTCTGTATATGTAGAATGGAATTAATGGCATTGTTTAGTATCATGGTTAGAAGAGCTCTCTTCTTTTTGTCAGTAATCACATGTAATTAGTGACATAAAGATCTGGAAAACTGCCAGAATGACAGTAACAAAATGCGGCTAACTTCTTACGTAGTTTCCTGACTAGCACTTTCCCAGGCTGCAGTAAGCCTCAAAAACATTGTCAACAATATTGCAGAACAAAACCCAGTACAATTTACTATCTGAGAGAGGATGAATTGACTGAAGGCAGAGTCTGAGGATACAGTGTCAATGGAATAGTCAAGAGGAGCATGTATTCCTGAATATTTCTATAGGAACGCTGCAAGGCGCTCTCTGTGTCTGTGATGAAAAGGATTTCAGGAGTTAGTTTGCCACTAATGCTTTGCCACTAACAATTTCTTGCTTTTTCTGCTGAACTCTCAGCAAGACTGGTAACATGAAATAGTGTTGCATGCAGATAGAAAGAGACTTGTTTCATAACAGACATGAAGCTTCAGAAGCATGGTGTGGGTAGAAGATGATATGCATTGCTGGTTTCGTCTGACATGTGGTTAGATCCTTTTGTTTGAGCCTCCCCACATTCTTCAGGCTGTGAGTGGGAGTATTCTACCATACATGAAAACCTTAAATGACTCCTGTGACATCTCTTTCAATGAGCCTCTGATATTACTGGTTTCTAAGAAAAGAATTTTCAATTTATGTTTAGGCAGGATGGACATGGAGATTGGAGATGTAAAAATGCATGGTGGAGTGCACAGTGCTTTTGAAATCTGCTGATGGAAGAACTGTGCTGTGAGCCATGTCCTGTAAGCTGCAGAACAGCAAGTTAAGGTAATAGTAATGGTAAGGGCAAAAGATTTTCTCAAGAATTTTCATCTTATATAAACCTGGGAAGGCTTACTTTTGGTTTTTGATTAGGTTACTTTTGCTGTTTTATGGGCTATAGAGTTGACTGTTTTCAACATTTTTCAACTGGGCAAGAAGCCAAACCATGACTCGTGATAGAGATGCTGACTTTTTGGTAAAATGGAATATCTGGTAGGATATACAGCTCTTTTCATAACATAAATTCTTAGGAACATAAGAATTATAGCAAATATAACGATACCAGCATCAAGTTGCTCATGTAGTCCTCAAGGAGGAAGCAGAGCCCACAGAATATGTCTAGAGCGCCTTCCTCCCTCACAGCGTTAAAGCCATACCTCCCATGTTTGAGTGAACTGCCTAATAATTTATCCCCAAGTGTCTTGGCAGTGCTGCAACCACTCTTTTCACCAGGATGGGGATGTGGTCAGGAACGCAGTAATGGATGACAGCATCTTCTGTTGTCGTAGGCAAATTCTTACCCTCTGCAGTTAAAGCATGCATCTGCATAGGGAGGCAAGAAGCAAAAATGCTCGAGGCAATAGCTCATTGCTGCTGGTATATTTAGGTAGTTTATTCCAATTGTGAATTTAGCTCAATATACCTGTTGCTTAAAAGAAACCCAAAACCAAACAATGACCTGCTCAAACAAATCATAGTAGTGAGAGTGGATGTTAATTTCTCTTTATTTTCAATTTACAGGCGTGTGTTGACACATCATGGTTCAACTGTGATACAGTTGAACCATGATGAACAAAGGGAAGTTATTTTTTTTCTACTTGGCTGCTCAGCACACAAGCACAGACTGATGGGCAAAGCTGGAAAAAGGTATGTCTTTGAGATAAAACAGAGCAGCTTATTTAGCAGAGAAGCAAGAGGTGAGTTTTACTTTACATTCTTAAGGGACAAGGTTGAGGAAATCCCCTAACGTTGTTAGCATGGCACAACATCGTGTGTTTGAAGACTTGCAGAAAGGTATCTCATGTGATGACTAATCTCAGTTATCTTTTTCTATTTGTTCATCACCAGAACTGTGGTGTCTGGGGACAGCTGGTGTTCCATGGCCTAAGCCATTCTATGTTTGTTTGTTCCATCCAGCTAGGATGGCAGTGAAGCTAAACCTGGAGAGTAGAGTCTTGTTCCTAATGAGCTGAGAACAGTAGGACTTGTCAAGGTGAGTTGTCTGATAACTGTGGACCTCCTTGAGGAGATGATAATTGTACTTTGGTCTGAACAGAAAGACTTTCATATGGAGGCTCAGTAGTTTGACTATATGGACACCTGGATTAGAGGCAGAGATCATTTTGACTCTCAATATTATCCCTCTATATTGAAAAGTTAAATTTAGGTGACCTTCCACTTTAAGATAAATAGGCCTTTTTGGAGCTCTCCTTTTGCCTTATTTGTAGTTGAGATTAGTCTTCTGGACAGTGGAAAGTGCTGCTTCCTGTATTGCTAGTGAGTTTTTTTCTAATTGGATTTCAGTGAAAGTGAAGTTCAGCTGTTGAAGGATAATGTGGGAGATTCTGAAATGGAACAGGTAAACATATGCTGGGACTCTTATTAAGAGCGATTCCTTGCTTGGCCCTAAGGAATAAGAGGAATCCAAAAAATGTATTTCACTTAGCTGTAACTGTCATGAGTACTAAAGGAGGTCCCATAATGGGGGGAATATTTTATCCTGTCAATTTGGCAGACTAATGACTGTCTTGTTCAGAGGGATTATTTCAATGAAGAATGGAAGTCAGCTCCCAAGGGAGATGGAAATGAATGACATGAAGAGGTACTGATTCATAATTGATTCTGTTCTAGACATGATCATGCACAATATTATATAATATTGCACAAATGTAATTTGAAAGCACTATATGGTGACTCACAAATTCTATATTTCCAGCATTTTAAAGCATTCCATTAGGTGATTCTTTTCCTTATAGGTGCTGAATTACTTAAAGTAGCAAAACCACTCCATTTTGTGTCATAGAGATCCTCTTGGTTGCTAAGTGTAACTCCTGCATGTCTCCGTCTACTTCAAAAGTAAGTCTCCAAGTGACTCAAGTAAAGGAAACTGGAATATTTTACAGGAATGTCTTGTATGCAGTGCATTCTCAGAATCCAACTCTTGCCAGTTGAGTCCTTCCGCTGTGTGTGTTTTACCATCTTCATTGAGTTATTGTCACTGTTGACTTTAAAAGTCTTCAGGCAATTTCATGCAGAAATGTGTCATGCTGAGGTCAAAGCAAGTTTAATAACGCTTCTTATTGAATTCTAAAATACAAGAGGATCATTTTTCATGAGTACTCAGCAGCTCTAAACTGTTTTAATGAACAGAGCCTTATTTCTGTATGGCTATTAATACAAATAGTGTTTGTGAACATATGTGTTTGCATAGCAAGTACAAGTCTCTTTTGCGGGCTTTCGGCAGCTCCATATCTTTTGAGTACATTTTTCCTCAGGTGAAGTAGGCTGGAGCTCATGGCATGATTTTGTAGTGCAGAGATACCAAGCACTAGCTAGTAGAGATTTTTCAAGTGTGAGTGCTCATGGATGCAAAATCTGTTTCTATATCCTTTTTATGGCTGTTACGCTCCCAAAACACTTCTGTATTTTCACAAGTAATGCATTAGTTGAGACCAGACCTGCAGCAGCAAATACTAACTGTGAAGTATTTTACAGAATGCATAGGAAGAAAATATGTACATGTTTTGCCTTAGTACCTACTCATTATAGGGTTTATAGGTTAGAATTTGAGATGTGCTATCCCCCAGAAACATTACTTGTCATTATGATAGTTCAAGTTGCATGTATCTGAAATGAACAATAAATGAAGGCATTTAATGTTTTAGAAGGTAAAGAAGCAACACACAAGATAACTTCTTATTTATCATAGAATCATAGAGTAGTTTGGGTTGGAAAGGATCTTAAGACCATCTAGTTCCAACCTCCCTGCCACTGGCAGGAAAGCTGCCAGGGATGGAGCACTCACCACTTCTTTGGACAACCTGTTCTAGTGCCTCAGCACCCTCACTGCTGCTTCCTTGTATCTAGCCTGAACTTACCTTATTTAAGCTTAAACCCGCTCCTCCTTGTCCTATCGCTACAGTCCCTGATGAAGAGTCCTTCTCCAACATCACTGTAGGCCCCCTTTCAGATACTGGAAGACTGCTGTAAGGTCTCCACGCAGTTTCCCTTCTCCGGGCTGAACAGGCATAGCGTTTTTAGCCCATCTTCGTACGGGACGTTTGCCATCTAGTGGTTTAGAGGCATTAATGCCAGAAGGGTGGAAGTGGCAAAGCTGGTTTCTATTAAAACCAGTTGAAGTTACAGTTGTTTCTCTACTTTTTTTACCTCCCCATGCTTTGCAACTGTTTCTGTTTCAGCTTTACGAGGTGACAAGCCAAAGTGTCCAACAAAACATCATTAGCTATCATTTACTATTGCCCATGGCAGATGCCTGGAAAGGTCAGTTAGCACACTGGTTTTTCCTGTTTTATTCATTGAAGTTCCCTTCTTTTGTCAGGAAAATGTTTGTATGTGTGTAGAGTGAATAATATGAATCCTTACTGCAGTGTTGGTAGATGCTGAATGCTTTATGCTCCTTGACTGCATTTTTGTTTTCTTATTCATCTTATCTGGTAATTGGTGATGTGTTTTAATCCCCAGAGTTCAAGTGCACCTATTGACATCACCACAAGCCATAACATACTAGAAGTCTTTTGATCGCTGCTGTCACCATTACTGCCACTAAGAAAAGCCCAAAGTCTGAGTTAGGACGTTTTTAATTGCCTTTTCCATTTGAGAACTGGAAAACTGTCTGTAAGAAAGGGGAGGTGGCAATGTTTCACCCTCTCTAGCTAGAACAGCTTTCTGCAGCCCCACATCTGTGATCTTTTCTTGTCTCTGCTGTTACCAGACACACATGAGTATTTTTTTTTTCTTTCTGTCCCCGACTCCCCATCTTAACAATGGGATAATAATCTCTTTTTGTTAGGTTTTTACAGATACAGTCCTGTGCCGTATAAACCACATCTAAACACCACTTCCAGATTACTTAAATAGTGTTATCAGGAAAAACAACCAGAGGAAGAAATCTGAAACACTTTACTCTGAACACAGAAAGAAGTAAGTGGTGCCTCAAAGCAGGAGGGGGGTTCATGTAGAGGACAAAATTGATGTAGGGATGGGTTCTCTGCATGAACTTGAACAATTTTGGTTGGTTACCCAGCTTCTCTTAAGATCCTAAACAAGTAGGGCTCAGATACTGCCTGGTCTTGTGAACAGCTGTTAGATGTGATGTTTTAGTTCAACTGTAGCATTACTGTGAAAAATATAACTACTGAGCTGGAAGTGCCATGGTTTTGACAGGAATGTTCTGTAACATAGGTACAATCTCTTCATATATGCCTGGTTTTAACTAATAGCCTGGACCTGCTGTACTGATTTACAGTGAGTCTGAAGTCTTACCTGTTTGGAAGATTTCAAGTCAGTGTATGAGTAAATTCAAGTCTGTTATCATTAAACTGTGTCTTTGCTATTTGAGGGTGTGCTTGTGGGGTTTTGTGTGTGGGGTGGTTTTATTTCAGTGGGATTTGTTTTCCTTTGTTTTATTTATTTATTTATTTTACACACAATCGGGTAAGATTTCTTCCTGCAGGGAGGATGCTTTACCCCAGGATTCATATTCTTTCTCCATAAGTTAAGGAAGACCTGGCCTAGACTGCTCTGAGCTGGGCTGGACTAAGCTAATCTGGGGTGGGCTACACTGGGCTAAAATGAGCTGTAGTAGATTAAAGTGGGCCAGACTGGACTAAACTGGGATGGGTTAGGCTAAACTGGGCTGGCCTTGGCTCCATTGAGCTGAAATGGGCTGGACCTGTCTGAGCCTGGCAGGACAAATCACAAATGAGCTGAAGTGGGCTAAAATTGTCTGGACTGGGCTAAATGGCCTGGCCTTAAGTGGGCTAAACTAGGCTGGCCTGAGATGAGTGAGATTGGTCTGAGCTGCGCTAATGTGTGCTAAAGTGAGCTGTGCTGGCCTGGATTGAGCTCAGCTGGGCTAAAGTGGGCTGAACTGTTCTTGGCTGGGCTTAGTTGGTCTGAACTGGGGTAAAGTGGGCTGGACAGGTCTGAACTGGGATAAATGCGCTGGACTGGGCTAAACTGTTCTTGGCTGGGCTTAATTGCACTGGAGTGGGCTAAACTGGTCTCAGGTGGTCTGAATTGGGCCAATCTAGGATTCATGGGGCTAAAAGAGGCTGGGCTGGGCAGCTTTGTTAAAGACTGTAAGCAAAGAGCAGCATATGGCATAACTACAACCTCAAAGGTAATAGAAGCTAAACGATTACCCTCTAACAGCTCAGCACAAAAGGCAGAAATAATAGCGCTGACTGGAGCCTTGGAGTTGGCAAAGGACAAGCAGATAAACATATGGAGTGATTCCAAATTTGCCTTTGGTGTAGTTCATGCACCTCCTCTCCCTTCCCCACCATCACCAGGGAAAGACCCAGCGCTTCCCATCTCACCCGTCCTTTCCCTCTTCCCCCAGATCCTTCTGCCAGGAGCACCGCCCACAGCAGCAAGAGCTTGTGGCTCCAGAGAACACCAAGTGCCTCATCTGCCTGGAGCCTGTGGAAGGCAGAACGACCTATGGGACTATGGTGTGCCCAGCCTGCAAACACGCCTGGTTCCACAGAGCCTGCATCCAGGTAGGAGCCATTCCCTGGCTCTGGACGCAGCAGGCTCTCAGGAGCACCAGAGCCTCACTCACAATCTTTCTGTTTCTCCTGCAGGGACAGGCTCTGTGTGCTGGCATTTTGTGCTTACAGTGCCCTCTGTGTAGAAATCAGAATCGGTTTCTTCTTGAAATGGCGCACATGGGATCCAAATCCCCATAAGGTTGGTGTCATCCTGTCCAGCACTGTGCCATGCGTGGCCCTGCACCAGCAGTCGTGGCCCTCTGCTGTCCCCCCTGAGTCTGGGCTTCAGCTCCATGGAGGAGCTGGAAACAGGGTGTGGGGAGAAGAGCGGGGAGGCCGTGCATGTGCCTTATGCTGGGGCAGCAGGGGCTCATCAATTTTCCTTTCTCCACCAGACCTCTGTCACAGGAGGACACCTCATATCCAGAATTGAATGGGAGGCACAGGAGCTGCGATGCCGGGGAGTGCTTTTGTCCAGGAGGCAGAGGGGTGGCAGAGCCATACGGGTAAGCTGCCAAAGCTGCACCCTGCGGCTCAGCACGGGATCTCTGTCTCAGCAAGGGCTTGAAGCAGAAGGGCTGAGAACAGGAGCTCTGCTGGTGCCAGCCCTGCCGGCTGTCTTCTGGATCTCTGGAACTGGAGTCCAGCAGCCCCGGTGCTACCAGCCAAGCAGCATTGGGCCAGACTCTTGGACCTCCAGCACAGGAGAGCAGCAGCCCCAGCAGCAGCAGACAGGTGCCGTTGGGACCATGCCACAGTTCACCAGTGTGTGAAAGCAGCAGCCGCTCCACTCCTCCGGGCTCGACCGATGGCGACACCAAACCAGGTGCACCCGTCAGACCCAGACACCCTACACGTGGTCTAGAAGACTGCAGGAGAGAGGCCAACCGCCAGCAACACGCACTGCGAGCAATACCCGTGGCCAGGCGGTGCTGAGACCAGGAGCCCCAGAACCAGCAGGCATCAGCCATCGGCAGCATCCTCTGACTCCGCAGCACTGGAAAGCGGCAGCAGCTCCATCCCCGCGAGGCCCACGTGGGTGCGAGACAACTCCCGCTTGCAGCATCGGGCCCAACCTCCCAACACACGGCCAGGACAACTCTGTGGGACCAGCCGTGCTCCTTTGCAGATGAGAGGGGTCAGCCTGTGTCCAGGGCACACTTGCCAGGAAAGAACAAAGATGCGAGTTCTAGAGAAGGCACGCAAAATTCAGAGCATGGGGAAGCTGCTCCTCGTACTGATCAAGTGAAGATGAGAGCAGCCATATGGATGCTGCAGTAATGCACGGAAACACACTAAACGACAACTGAAATGCCCCAAACTGCTTTCAGAACAGGTGAAGCTGGCTGTAAGTAGTCAAAGTCCAGAATGTGAAGCTGATAAATGTGAGGATGGGAAGAGAAGCCTTCTGGAAAATCAAGAGCTTGGTCTTCATGCTACTGCTTCAACGGAACACAGGTCAAAAAAGAAACGGTTTCAGGATAACCAGAGGAGGCTAGCAGCTCTAGGAGAGAGACAGAGACAGGGGGAGAGATTAAAGGAGCTCTCTCCAAGCTGGTAATGACAGTCACAACTTCTCTCTGAACAGTATGCAGTAAAAGAAACAGGGAATTAATAGATGTGGTTTAAGATACTTAAAAAGTTACATTCTGGAAATTCTGATCACATTGCCACTTCTCTCATGGATGTATACAAAATTATGCATACCTAATTCTTGGAACGTGTCTAGAGTTGCAAGAAGAATACTAGATTCCTCCTTTCATGTCACCAAAACGTCTTTTAGATACTGTGTATGACTGTAGCAACTATTTGCTAAGTTTGACTTGAGAGTTTCACTCTTCAGAGCCTAGCCAGCCACCAGGCAAGCATAAACACATGATATTCCATTCAGATGTGGATAGCGAAGCTGAAGTAGATGAGACGTTGAAGAAAGATGCCAGTTTGGGAAACACACATGAGAAAGTAAGTGTTATTGGGAGCGAGTCCAGTATTCTGTAAGGTAATTCCATATGGGTATGACCGTGCCTCTTGTTCTGAAGGCTGTTCCTCGTAACTGAAGTGACAGAAAAAAAGTAGGTGAGGTTTGAATTAATAGGAAGGATTCTTCTTTTTTGGTAAGATAAATCAGGTTTCAAAGAATTTAACCACGCAGCTGATGTCAAAGAATGGGGAAGAGGTTTGGCTTGAGGAGTATAGGGTGACACTGCTCTTTCCAACCATGTGGATGAAGAATCTATATTAATGCATTGTTGCCCTTTCAAAGTGATGTTGGGGTCCAAGCGTGGGATTTCCTCCATACACCGCACCTAACTGTGGCCTTGTTTAGCAGCCTCCTCAGGCTTTTATTGCCATGCTTTCAGCACAATTAAGTCTACTGCTCTGGAACAGAACTTGTATTTTTTTAGTTACATTTCTCCTAAAGGGTGAGACCTCTGGGTTTGCTTTAGTTGGTATTCTGTGTAAATGTAGTAAGATTTGGACCATTCTTACTATTTAATTAAGACCCTTTTTTCTCATTTTTCCTTTATTTAGCACTTCTTTCACACATGTATCCCTTGCCCTGTAGTTAGAATCCATGCCCCATGTTTTCCCTTTTCTTTAAAAAAATCCCTTATTCGATGGAAAATTGTTTCAAAGCCATGGAGCGCTTACCTTTTACAATCATTGATATTTATCAACTGACTTAAACGATGTCTTGCAGTTTTTACCATAACTGAGGCTTCTTCAGAAAGGGTATAATTTGATACGGAAGTCTTTAAATTGATCTCCCTTGACATAATCAGAAATTTGGATTGAAAGGGCTTTCTTCCTGATGAAGGGATGATCAAATGGTAAGGAAACGAGGACTTAAGGAAAATCAAAGGGTTACCAAATGGTGATAAAGTAATAGTGGAATGGTAATGAGAGTCACAGGAATCATTTAGGTTGGAGAAGGCCATAAAGGTCATCGAGTCCAACCGTTAAGCAACCACTGCCAAGTTCACCAGGAAACCATGTCCCTAAGCTGGCCCTTGCCTCTGCACTTGCAGGTGGAGCAGTCGCCCTGGTGACCTGGGTGCCAAGGGCTCGGGTCCCTGCCTGTGCGCTTCACAGCCAGCTCTGTGATGCAGTGTCCGTGTCACAGTGGGTGCTGTGTGCCCCTGCCCGTGTTGGGCCAGTGGTGCTGATGTCACAGAGGCCACAGTGACCGGTGGCAGGGGCAGGCCTATAAACAGGGGAGGCTGGGCACAGTGTGAGCATCAGTGCGACCTGGTGAGGTGCGGGGAGCAGAGGGCAGGGACAGGGCTCTCGGGGGGCTGCCGAGGGAGGAGGGGGCTCCACACCGCAGGGCTCTGGGCCTGTGCTGAGAGCTCACCCACGTCTCTCTTCTCCCTCAGAGGTAGCAGAGGAGCGGTTGGAGCGTTTGCCCACCTTCGAGTTCTGACACCTCCCCAAGGAGGTGTAGGACATCCGACTCGATGGAGTTTGGTGAGAGCAAAGTCCCCCTCCTACAGCCTGCCAGAGGGCCTCCTGAGGCTGTCAGCGTGGGACCGGGAGCGTTGGCAGGGGGAGGCAGGAGCTCCAAAGCCACCCTGTGGGAGGGCCCCTCCTGTCCTTGACAAGCGGGACCAGGGCTGGGCAGTGCGCACCCTACTGGGCACCCATGCTTGCGGTGCCCTTTCCTCTCCAAGGCTTCCAGCCCTGCCCAGCAGCCACCTAGGCAGGGACAGAGCAGCCCTGCCTGAGGGCAATCCCTCAGGGACGCATCCCTGGCCCCACAGAGATGCTCATTCCTGGTGGCATTTGCTCTCTCTTGTCCAGCATGCGTGCTGTGTGGCCGGGCAGAGGCAGACCCGGTCATCTGCGGCCCAAAACTGGATCATCAAGGCATCTTTGCCCATCAGTTTTGCCTGGTGAGTTCCTCTGGGGCTGGCTTTATCTTTGCAAGACACCGGCCCTGCCACATGCCCCTCACCATCTCCTTGTCTCTGCTCTTCTGCAGCTTTTTGCCAGTGAGCTTGCTCGAGAAGACACTGAGCAGGAAGCAGAGATGAGATTTTACCGTGCGGATGTTCAACGGACAGTGGAGCAGGCAGCCCAGATGGTGAGGATCTGAGATGATCAGGGTGATTTGTGCTAGGAGAGGTTTGTAGAGCTTAGCCCAGGCTCCAAGAAGAGAATCCCAGCCCTTCCACCCAGCTCTGGGACAGAAGTCTTGCTCCCAGCAGCTCCACAGAGGGTCTGGGACAGGAGCCTGCTCTGCCAGGCAGATCTGTGGCCTGTGATCCAGCCGGGGCCACATCCTGCGCCCTGCCCCGAGGTGTGGGTCTGGTTGTGGAGGCCCTGAGGCTGCCGCTGATGGGGGCTGCTCTGCTCTTTCCAGGTCTGCTTTGTGTGTGGCAAGGGGGGGGCCACCATCACCTGCCAGGAGACGGGCTGTGGCCGCAGGTTCCATCTCCCCTGTGCCGTGGAGGGTCAGTGCGTCACCTGTTATCTCCCACCGTTCAGGTACCTTCTCTCCCCTCCCCATCGTCACCAGGGAAAGATCCAATGCTCCTCATCTCACCTGTCCTTTACCTCTTTCCCCAGATCCTTCTGCCAGGAGCACCGCCCACAGCAGCAAGAGCTTGTGGCTCCAGAGAACACCAAGTGCCTCATCTGCATGGACCCTGTTGAAGGCAGAACAACCTATGGGACCATGGTGTGCCCAGCCTGCAAACACGCCTGGTTCCACAGAGCCTGCATCCAGGTAGGAGCTGTTCGCTCGTTCTGGGCACACCAGGCTCCTAGCAGCACCAGAGCCTCACTCACAATCTTTCTGTTTCTCCTGCAGGGACAGGCTCTGTGTGCTGGCATTTTGTGCTTACAGTGCCCTCTGTGTAGAAATCAGAATTGGTTTTTTCTTGAAATGATGCACATGGGGATCCAAATCCCCATAAGGTTGGTATCCTCCTGTCTAGCACTGTGCCATGCGTGGCCCTGCACCAGCAGTCGTGGCCCTCTGCTGTCCCCCCTGAGTCTGGGCTTCAGCTCCATGGAGGAGCTGGAAACAGGGTGTGGGGAGAAGAGCGGGGAGGCCGTGCATGTGCCTGATGCTGGGGCAGCAGCAGGGGCTCATCAATTTTCCTTTCTCCACCAGACCTCCGTCATGGGAGGACAACAATGCATACGCAGAACTTTACCAGAGGCACAGGAGCTGTGATGCCAGGGAGTGCCTTTGTCCAGGAGGCAGAGGGGTGGCAGAGCCATACGGGTAAGCTGCCAAAGCTGCACCCTGGGGCTCGGCACGGGATCTCTGTCTCAGCAAGGGCTTGAAGCAGAAGGGCTGAGAACAAGAGCTCTGCTGGACGATCCCGTGCTGTGGGCACTTTATCCTTAGAGACATGAACCCATTTCTTTCCCCAGGCCCTGGCAGCTGTTGCTGTGCTGCTCCTGCGCTGCTGTGGGCACTCACAGACGCTGCTCCAGCCTGAGGAACAGCTATGAGACGGGATGGGAGTGTGACAGCTGTGCTGGCCTGGGCACCTGTAAGTGTCAAAAGCATGCAGGTGCTCCTGGGCTGGGGACAGGGCCCAGGCAAGGCCTAGCAGGGAGTGCCTGGTGTGGTCCAGGAAGGCTGGGGCACCGCTCTGGCCTACCCTGCCCCAGGCCTGGGAGCCAAGCCCTTAATGTTCCTGCTTCCCCTTGTAGCCTCCAGTGCCACCTCAGAGCTTGCTGATGCCAGCCCTGTTGGCCCAGCAGCACTGGGGCAGTCTTCTGGATCTCTGGACCTGGAGTCCTGCAGCCCCAGCACCAGCAGCCAGGGAGCATCGGGGCAGACTCTTGGATCTCCTGCCCAAGAGACGAGCAGCAGACAGATGGCATCACGGCCATGCCACACTTCCCCAGTGTGTGAGGGCAGCAGCTGCTTCACCCCCCCTGGGCCCTGCCGATGGCAATGCCAAACCCAGGCCAACCGGCAAGGACACACTCCCTACAGGAGGAGGCCCAGAGGACAGCTGGAGGAAAGCCAACTGCCAACAACACGCACTGTGAGCAGTACCCACAGCCAGGCGGTGTCAGAGCTATCCCAGCACTCCCCAGTACGTGCTTGCAGCGGCTCCATCACTGGCAGCCAGGAGTCACCAGGGAGCAGCAGCGCCAGCACTGACAGCCAGGAATCATCAGGGACCTCCTGTGGTTCTCCAGAACGGGAGAGCAGCAGGGCCAGCACTGACAGCCCAGAGGCATTATAGCCATGCCACCGTTCCCTGGCACCAGACACAGGCACTGCAACAACCGGGCCATGCCACAGCTCCCCAGCGTGCTCCCAGTTGAACTGTCGCACCCAAGCTGCCTACATGTGGCCTAGAAGACAGCGGGACAGAAGCCGAATGCCAGCACCACGTGATCCCCCTCCACAGGCACAATAAAGGTGGCCCTTTGTCTCTGAACTGGGAGATTCCAGGCTCCTTGGTTGGCTTCCTCCTCTTCCTCTGCTTTTCTCAAGTGGCAGCGTGAGCGGCTGGGTGTCGTCGGCAAACTTGCTGAGGGCACATTCAGTCCCTCTGTCCCAGTTCAACCTGGTTTAGCATTTTCCAGACCAACCCAGCTCGTTTTAGACCAGCCCAACCACGTCCACCTTAGCCCAGCCAAGTTTAGCCTATTCAGCACAGTTTAGCCTTGTCCAGGCCAGTATAGCCCAGTTTGGCCCACTTTGGCCTAGTTCAGCCCAGTTTGGCCCAGTTCAGCACAGTCCACCCGGTTTAGCCCACATTGGTCCAGTTCAGCTCAGCCCAGGAAACTTTAGTCCTATTCAGCCTAGTCCAGGCCCATTCAGACAAGAACAGATCTGCCCAGACCAGTTCAGACCACTATAGCCCAGATTGGACCAGTTTAGCCCACTCCACCACAGTTCAGACCAGCTTGGCAAACTCCAATCCACCTTGGCCCAGTTCAGCCCAGTCCAGCCTGGTTCTGCCCAGTTTGGACCAGTTTAGCACAGTTCGGCCCACTTCAGCCCAGTTTAGCACTTCCCAGACCAGCCCAGCTCATTTTAGCCCATCTTAGCCCAGCCAATTCAGCACAGTTTAGCCCAGTTCAGACCAGTTTAGCCTAGTTCAGCCCTGTTTAGACCACTTTAACCCGGTTTACCCCACTTCAGCCCACCCCATCCCACTTAAGCCCACCCAAGCATAGCCCAGCTCACTTTAACCCAGTTCAGCCCAGTCCATCCCATTTAGACAAGTTCCGATCTGTTTAGCCCAGTTTGGCCTAGTTCAGCCCACTACAGCCCAGTTTAGCCTAGATCAGACCAGTTCATCCCTCTCCAGCGCAGTTTTCAGCACTGTTTAGCCCAGTTTAGCCCACTTTTGCCCAGTTTAACCCACTTTGGCGCAGGTCAGCCCACTCCAGCTGAGTTTAGCCCAAACTTGGCTGGGTTGGTCTGGGAAGGGCTAAACTGGGCTGTACTGGGCTGAATCCTGCTAAACTGGGCTGGAGTGGTCTGAACTAGGTGTGTCTTGGGCGGAGCAGGGGCTTTCTGGCGCACCCAGTGCCTTTTTTTATCTGCTATCGCCTGCTCGATTTAATAAATTTATAAATTTATAATGTTTTAAAACGAGATTGGCTCACTCGTTGATAACAAACTTGTCTAAATGGGCCTGGACTGGGCTGAACTGGGCTTCAATTGTCCCTGCACATGGCAGGGGGCTTGGAACTGCGTGATCTTAAGGTCCGTTCCAACCGTAACTATGCTGTGATTCTAAGACTGGTGGGCTTGTCCTCGGTTTAGGAAGGAATTAGTGGAACGTGCATGGACATTCTTTTTTAAGAATCTCCGTAAAATAGCGTTTGTCAGGAAATGCCATGAATACGGTGTCACTTCTCATCAGCCGGTGTGCAGATCTCGGATGGTTTCAGCACAGCACCTGCGTGCGGGGCAGAAAGCTGGCGCTCAACACTGGGTTTAGCACCTGAGCAGCCCGGCGCGGCCGCTTGTTCGTAAGCGAACCGTTCGTGCCGGAAGCGTTACTGCAGCGGGCGCGCTCCCGCGGGAGCAGCCGCGTGAGCACCAATTCCCCGCCCGGTGCCCGTTTTCCGCTCGCAGTTGGGGCGGTCCCGGCCGCGCTGACGCGTTCGCGGCGCGACGGCGTCGCCATTTGATGCGGGCGGGGCCGATGGGCGCGCAGGAGGTGCTGGGGCAGGCCACGCGGCTGGCGTCCTCCAGCGCGCTGCTGCAGGTGCGGGCGGGACCGGGGGCACCTTCCTCTTCTTCTTCCTCTTCTTCTTCCTCCTCTTCTTCCTCCTCCTCCTCCTCCTGCTGGTGGGTACGCGGGGGCGGCCGCCGCTTCAGCCCCGCTCTGCCCTCAGGTGTTTCCCGTGTGGCTTTTTCCACAGGTGCTGTTCCGGGCGGTCACGTTCGCCCTCAACGCCTTCACTCTGCGCTACCTCTCCAGAGAGCTGATCGGTGTGGTCAACGTGAGGTGAGGGGGGGCCTGGGTCCCCCCATGGCCACCGCACCGGGCGGCTTCCCAGGCAGCGAGGGAGGGCTCTCGGACAGCGTTTGTATAGGGCCGCCTGGGCAGGGTTGGCTTATAATGATTTGCATAGCGCTGTTTAATTTACTGTTGGGTGTTCTGCAGTGTTTGGTCGTTGACTGCCTCCCGACTTCTTTTTTCACCTCAAACAGAGGTACTGCTGGCTTGTTTTCCATGTTAAATCATTAACTTGCTGAGGAAAAGCGGCGTAACTACTTTCCCTCATTTTTTTATGGTATGGTGATAATTTATTTCATGTCACCATGTTCTCTTGCACATCCGTTACTTTTGTCTGTCAGGCAGGCCTCTGTAAACACTGAGTGATGTTACTGCGTGGAGGATGTCAGAAGTAGTGTGTAAAGGAATCGTTTTCTCTCCTTGTTTTTCTCTCTCCCCTCCATTAGGCTCACTTTGCTGTATTCAACGGTTGTCTTCCTGGCAAGGGAGGCGTTTCGCAGAGCCTGTCTGAGTGGAAGTGCAAAGAGAAACTGGACCAAAACAACTAACCTGTTGTGGCTGACGTGAGATACCTTTAAAAATTTGCTACTTTGGAATTTAGTTCTTGTCTGAAAGCTCACAAAATCGAGAGCAAGTATTTATTTACTGAGGTAATTACTTTAGCATTGAGCATGCAGTAGCCTCAGTCATGTTTCAGGACTGATGTAGGAAGCTGGTTAAGTCTCTTGATTTAGCATTTATGTACTTAATCTCCTTTTGGAGCACATGGGAAGGTGCATCACCCAAGCTGTTATCAGGAGCTGTTCTGTCACTTACCCTGGAGATACCGTTGAGCACTGATACAGTTTAATGGCAGGGCAACATCAGTGTTGCTTTCAGATGGTTTAATACTGATTATTTTCAGTGTGTTGGATCTGTTCTCTCAGTTGTGTTATAATCAGTTTCTTGACGTTTGACAGCCTTTCGGGTGGGTATTACATGGTGGAGTTAACAATGCCTGTGTGCACCTTTTTAAACTTTTCCTTGTAGAGAAGCATAACTTAAAATGGAGATTTAACTTTCCTGAAGGATCTGAAATACCTCTTAGGAACTTGACGTCAAATGCTTCAGGGATCTGATAATAGGAGGCTCAAGTAGATTCTCCCTCAATGATGTAAAATGTTCTGTGCTCTGCCAGAAGCTTTGTCAACAAAGCTTCCTGAAGCAGTGTCAACAGAAGCTGATGCATGCGTGCACTCCTGTGCCTAGCTTGGCTTTTCAGCTACACTCACTAGTGGAAGTGGCTCTGAGCTACAGTCGATCATGGTGGACTTGCATTCCTGGGATGCAGGCATGCATTTTGTTATCATGCTGCTGTCACTTTGTAGAGAACCAATGATTTCTGGAAGAGTGGGACAAGCAGTTGGAATGGTGGCACCTTTATGTGTTACAGCAAGATCCAAGAGAGCTTGTCTGCCAAACCCCTGGTAACCACAGACCACAAAAATAGTGTTTTGCAGGCCGATAAGGGATCAGAATTGTTTGGTCTTAGGAAGTGAAAAGTGCAGATAGGTGACCTTATGTTAGGTTCTTGAGTAGAAAATAGACAAGTCAGAAAAGTATTTTCTGTTTCTTGCAAACAGTGCCTTAAAGATGTTCGTGACACAGGAAAAGAAGGTGTTCTTGGTATAGTAACAATAGAAATTATTCCTCTGGGCCTTTTAAAAAAATGATGGCCATGTATGACTATTTAATTTTTATTTTTTTCCTGCTGAAGTAACATTTGTATTGATTTGTTTTTATGTTAACTTTTTAGAGTCCCTCTTGGTGTTTTTTGGTCTGTTTGCTTGGGCTTAGTCTGGCTACACTTGCTCGAAGTACCTGATCCTTCTGTGGTTCCTCATTATCAGGCTGGTGTAGTAGCATTTGGTCTTTCTGCAATTATTGAACTTCTGGGAGAGCCATTCTGGGTTTTAGCACAAGCTCATTTGTTTGTGAGACTTAAGGTTAGTAAAGTACATGGGGTATACGTGTGTGTGTGTGTGTAATTATCTTTCTGTATTGAAAAGAAGGGATTGCTGAGCTAGATCTTCGTGTATTTGAGCATATGAAAAAAAATAAACCTTGTGCATACTGTTTACTACTGTATAACATAGTTGTAACAGGTATAAATTTGTAGCTGTTAAAGCAAGGAAGTTGATTTATTTAGAAATACTTAATTACGAGTTTTAATCGGAGGGAGAGTCATGCATCTTCCATGATTTCATATTTCAGTTGTTTGTTGATGTGAAATTGTGAAATACAATTGAGAACATGTTTGTCTCGAGCAAAATTTTCTACCTTATGTCCCATGCAAAGGACTGGGAAAGTGCAATAGAGGAATTGTGAAATGCAAGAAAAGAAAATTTACACAGGAATTGCAATCTTAGATGGTAGACTCAGCAGAAACTGACAAAGTGGTGCTGACTTTGAAAGTCTTCCTACGTATTCCTGCATAATTTCTGTGTGTGAAGCTAATGTAATGTAAGTTTGTGTGTGTGGTTAAGTTGGCAGAAAATAACCCTTCTCTTTTCTTTCTTAAAGGTAGTTGCTGAAAGCCTTTCAGTAGTGTCAAAATGCATTTTGACAGTTATTTTAGTAGTTCTTTATCCTCAGTGGGGCCTCTACATTTTTTCCTTGGCTCAGGTAAGTTTCCTGTGTTTTCTTTCTCAGTGTTGAGTTAATGGTTGGACTCAATAATCTTCAAGGTCATTTCTGACCTAAAAGATGCTCTGAGTCTATGAAGTAAGAGATGTAGATAGTAGCTACTCTGTCAACTTGATTTTTGACTGAGTGGATAATTGCTTTGTATTGGACTTTAAATAATAATTCTCAAAATCCTGAATAGAACATGAAAGTTATTAAAGGACTATTATAACGTATAAATTAAGAAAAAAAACCAAAGATCAATAATATTCTCGAGAAGAGTTAAATTTAAGTCTATATGTAATTTGATGTTGACAGGAATAAGGACTACTTAATACATTTTTTTTCTCACTGAATTCAGAACTCTCAGTATGTAATTCTAGCCTGCAATTCTACATTTGTAAGTTAAGTTTATATTACTCTTTTTTCTCTCCTTCCCTTTCTTTCCAGCTTTTGTATACCAGTGTGCTGGTACTGTGCTACGTTATTTATTTTGTGATGTTTTTGGGATCTCCTGAAGCAACAAAGAAGTCATTTCCAGTTGCTAGAATGAAAGCTTTATTGCCCAGTTTGGTGGAAGATGAGGTAGGTTGCACAGTTTGAAGTCTGTCTTGAGAGAGCTTTGAAAATTAGTTGGAGATAGGGGAGTTGAGTGATTTGGGGGATATCCCTGCACTGTAGAAGATAAGACTGATTAAGGAAAAAAGAACCAAACCAAAACATAATTCTGTTTGTAGTTTGTGTTAGCAAAATCCTTGTCAGGAAAAGTTAGAAAACTTCACCTCTTTGTGCTTATGGGCCTGTGGCTGACTTCTCATTTAGTAGCTTTGCACAAACCATTAAGTGGAGGTAAAAACCGATCAGTGTGTGGGAGAATCAGGTATCGCACTGGATCAGAGGCAGGGTGGAAAACAGTATCAGTTTAACATGGGGTTTGGTATGTTGACTTTTCCATAAAAAACCCATGGTGTTACGCTGCATCCTACAGATACTCGGATTATCTCTGAAAAGAAAACGAGGCAAAAGAATGAAAAGGTGCAGTGAGGAAGATGACATTTGAAAAAGATTTACAGATTAGAAAGAGAAGTGCTTGTTGGTTGCAGGACTTGTAGGGACAGTTTGAAGAGCAATAAACAATAGATAAGTACAATGAAGGTGAAAGTTGTATTGGCATGCATGTGGGTTTGTTTTTTTTTTCCTGTCTCTTAACTTTGCTTAGTATTTTCTTTAGAAAACATGTTTGAGTAGTTTATCTGCAGAACAGTGAGTTCCAGCAAGGGACAGAGTGTTTGTGAATCAGAGTGATGTTGGTGCTTGAATTTAGCAATATCTTAGATCAATTGTTAGTAACTGACATTGTGGATTTTCCTCCTCAGTATAGTCAGAGTTAGCCTACACTGTTGTACTGGCTTTCTGTTTCCTGTTTCACTCTAATTTCAATCATGTTTCGGTACTTTTTCATTTCAATACCTGTTTCATTTCAGTACTTTTTTTGCAGACCTTTGTTAACTGGAAGGAAGCACGGTTGACTTGGAGTTTCTTCAAACAGTCCTTCTTGAAACAGATTTTGACAGAGGGTGAGGCTTGATATATACTTGTGATGGAGAAGGGCTGGTGAACAGTATTTACCAAAGTGATATAAAGCTTGAGAAAGTTGGCGGGGGGGAGCAGTGGGAGTGGGCATGTAACTTTCAGAGGTTGCCCGATGTTACCAACCTGAATGATGTTCTTGAGGATTTTCGGAACTAGGTGCTGTCTTGTTGGATTTAGTGTCTTGAATACTTACTATTGGAAGTGCTAGAACAAGCCCCTAAATGTTTCCCAGTATTTAAGTTTTTTGTTTTGAACTTACAGGTGAACGATATGTGATGACTTTTTTGAATGTGTTGAATTTTGGAGATCAGGGTAAGTGTCATGGTATTGTGAAATAGTGACATAGCTTTCTTAGTCCCTGCTCTTCAGGTGGTTCTGAAAATGATTGAAAGTATTTGAAGATAACTTGAAAATCTGGGACAATTTCAAAGCCTTTGTGATGTTGAGATACATGTCAGAGGATGATTGATCCAGACATAGAAAAGAATTTAAGATCCTGGATTTAAACTGTATTTTTATTTTGGAACAGAACTTTCCAACTGGATGTGTGATACCGTGTATCTTGTTTCTTAAAAAAAAAAAAACCAAAACAAGAGAAAACCAATAAACCCCAAAAGAAAAACCAACCTCAAAACTCCCTGAAAACACCACCAACGAAAACAAATAATCCACCATCACCGCCCCCCAACTTCATTAGTATCTGATTGTGTTATAGTTGTCTGTCTTTGGTTTTTGTGAATCTGTTTTCCTGCTGTTTTCTGTCTTCCATTTGAATCTGTGTTAGCTGTTACAGCAAGAATGCATTGCCTCTCAAAACTGAATTATGCTCTGTAAAGGAAATCAGTGTGGCTACAGAGTAATGTATGGCAGTAGCCATTCAAATGACTGATTTGGTGACAGCTCGGGTCTTTGCAGCTTGGGGAAGTAAAATAGGCTGTAGTTGCTGGCCCACAGTTAGAAGTTGCTTGGCTAGTTCAAATTACTTTCAGTTGCTGGCAGTAGTATGTTCCCTTGTAAATACTGAGTAGATGTGCTTGCCACCAGTAACTGGGGCTGCTTCTGATTCTCCTCACCTGCAGAGCAATTGAGCTGCCTCTTACTTGAAGGGTCTTTAAAAGAGCAATGCGTATGAAGTGCCTGGGCTCTCAGAATGTTGAGGAGCTTTGGTCCAAGTCCTGCAGAAATCAGCCAGAATCATATGCTATTATTTTTCTGTGAATATGTGAAGCACTTACCCATATGCCTGATTGTATGCTTTTGTATGCTCTGGATTGTGTGTGTATACACACACACGTAGATGCCTTAGCAGGTTTGTAGTGACGTTCTGCTGAGGATGGAAGTGCTGGGAAAATGTCATGCAGGCTTGCTCTTCCACTGGAGTGAAAGTAAAAATGGAAGAACCTCACCCTAAAACTAGATGTCTTTCTCTTCTCCTGTATCAGTAAATCCTTGCGTTTCTGCTCTCATTCAGTAAAATTCATCAGGATCTTTTAACTTCCTCTAGAGTAAGAATTTTAAATGTGACTTGGTGCTATTACTAGATTGACATTTCTGTGGTTGATGCTTTTGTCCCAGCTTTGCCATCTCTGAGCAAACCTTGTAATTTTGAGCTGTGGTTGCTGTGACAGAATTTTTAGGGAACACTGTTTTACTGTTGTGCAAAATTCCATTCGTTTTCTCTTTGTTCTGTGGAAATGGTAAATTAGAATTCATGTTGCTGTTAAAGACTTGGAATTAAAATGTGTCTGAAAATATCACAGATTGCTGCTATGTTTTTTTTTTTGTTTTTTTGAAAGGTGTATATGATATCGTGAATAATCTTGGTTCACTGGTGGCCAGGTTTATCTTTTTGCCTATTGAGGAGAGTTTTTATGTCTTTTTTGCCAAAGTGCTAGAAAGAGGGAAGAATGTAAAGGATCAGAAGAAGGTATGTTTAATTTCATATTAGTTACGTGTTAAGTGCTCGATTTTTGTTATTGGTAAGTTACATCACAGAAATGTGACTGATAGAACTTATGTTTAAATTTGAGTATAAAGGCTGTTAAAATTGAAATGTTGAAGTGGAGGACAAAACTGTTGAGTGAGGCTGGACCAAAAACCCAAGAAAATAGGTAAAATGGTAATGAAATGGAAATTAAGGTATGCAGTGGCATAGTACTGCCTTGTACTACCAATGATGTTAACATCAGCTGCTCCAAAGGGTGTGATATAAACCCTATTGTACCCTGTGTTTCCAGATATGCTTAGGCAATTATTTTAAACCATGAAAGCAGGCTATTTCTATTAAGTAAATGCTGTCTGAATATATTTACTTGAAAACATAAGTAGCTGTTCAGTATTAAACAGTAATGCTTCCAGAGAGTGCAGTTTTGGAAAGAAAATAATTGTCTTTTTCTTGAGCTTTTGAATTGTATGTGGGGTATCAATGGTTAAATGATCAAGAGCTTTGTTCCACAGAATATTTTTTGTGTATGCTTTAGGTGTGACATTCTTCATCAGCCTTGAAGGTCAGCCTGGGCTTTTGTCTGATGCTATGACAGGTTTTTGCAGGAATCTTGTTTCTTGCACATCAGCATGCAGCTAAAACAAATTCCATGCTACAGGGCATTGGTGGGCTAAGAAAAGTGTTACATATATGTATTTTTTATACATAGTGCACCAGATATGTATAACTGGCAAAATTATGATGAGTTTCTCTTCTATGTAGTGAAATTACAAGAACTACAAGGATGCTTGTAATGATGTAGTAGTAGTGACAAGTTACTTGTTCTGGTGTGGCAAATCCTGTAGTCTCGTGTGGCAGTGAAAATCTGACCCTCTGCTGACTCAGACCTTGGGCAGGTGCTGTGCTGCTCTTTGCCATTTACTAACTGTTAAGCATCTGCAAGTTCTGTTTCCTTGAACATGCATGTTAAAGGCTAATATTTGTGTAAATATGTAACCTGTAAAACCTAGAATGGAGTAATAAATACAGTTGAGGCTACATGTATGGATAATTCAGTAACAAAGTGTAGGTTTCACACCTTTATATACAATGCAGACTGTTTGGGTTTGGTTTGTTTTTAATTTTTCCTGTGAAGTAGATCATCTGTGTGAAAGTAACTGGTGATGTTCATTCTGATCCATGTAATGGATGACAATTTTTTTTCAGGATGATGTTGCTATGGCTGCAAATGTATTAGAATCACTGTTAAAACTTGTACTTCTGACTGGCCTTACCATCACAGTTTTCGGGTATGCCTATTCTCAGCTGGCTCTGGATCTTTATGGAGGCTCAGTGCTCAGTTCTGGAACCGGTAAGGATTTATAGAGCTGGCAGAAGAGCACTGCACTTTTAGAAACTGCAGCTATTATGATTTCTTGAGTCAATACAATTTTTTTGTCTGTAAAACTCCTGGTGAAATTAGTGACTTGGCTTCTTTGAATCCAGAACTCCACATTTATTTTGTAGTCACATTAAACTAAAATATACTGAGGAGCTCCAAATAAGTAGGATCAGGTTTGGGGCTCTACCTTCCTGCAGTTTCACACTGTTGTAAAAGAACATTTCAAAGGATTATTTAACTGCTCCATGATATAAAATTGCTGACTCCCAGCTGTTTAAACCAACAATGACAGACCCCCCAGAAACCCATACAACAAATTGGAACCAGAGTATTCACAGTTTGGGCAGTTGTTCTTTAAAACTGAAATGGGAGGAGTCTTAGTAATACGAACTACATTGCTGCCATGAAAGAGAGTATTCATGGATGCACACTAACCTGTTAAAAAGCATGGGTTTTCTTTCCCCAGTGTTAGAATTTCTGAAGTACAAGAAAAGTTGAAGGTTTGCATGGGTGATTTTTAAATCATGCATAAAATAGTTTTGCCCCATAAAAATATGAAGAACTTTTTCCATCTAACACAATTCTGAATGTATTGAACAGCTTTTCTGTTTTTCATACTGTTATGTTCAAAGTACACTTTGTATTGCTTTTATTAGCTCAGGATGACTGGGATGAATTTCCACAAATTTCTGTATAGTGCAAGATTTGGGTTATGATAAATATTTTTAAATTTGGAAATCCCTCTTAATAAAATCCTTTTTTTGATGGATATCTTTTCTTTCACTGTAATAACTGCTATTCTTGGGTGTTTGATGTCTTATTTGTTTTTTTTTTGTCTTGTCAAAATACACAGACAGGAAACTTGTTGAAATGAATTCACATTTCCATTTTCAGTGATGACATTACAGCTTTTATCTCTTAGTATCAGTGAGTATAAAAACAATGTGGTTTTATAAAAGAAGTAGTATTTACTTATTATTCTAATGTGTTTCTTAGGTCCAAATCTCCTTCGATGTTACTCATTGTATGTCCTATTTCTTGCTGTCAATGGAGTAACAGAATGTTTTACATTTGCTTTGATGTGTAAAGAAGAGGTGGACAGGTAGGAAATAGTGTCCCCAGAATGTTCTTGTAATTAATCTGCTTGGAGTTCAGTATGTAAACAGCAGTTCTAGGGGGTTATGTGCTTGGAAGTGCTTTGTTTCCAAAGAGCAAATTTTTGCAGTCACTTTAGGAAGTGACAGTGTTGAAGCTTCAAGCTATGTTCCTTGTCTCCAGAGCCAGGCGCAACAGATAGGCAACCAAGCATGCACTACTTGAGGTTTTTACATGCTTGTATTTGTTGATAAACATCAATCTTAAAAATGTATTTGTACTGAATTTACAGAGAGATTGGTGCATTTGAAACCAGCATAAAAATACTCTGCTCCACTGAAAACCAGTTAGCTACCTGCATAGACTTAGATGTAGAAGCTTTAGCAACAGTATAAATGCTTGGGTAAAAAGGTCAGAAATGAAGGAGTAGAGATTTTTAAATTAGCTTTTGGTACATCACTAACTGGGAAAGCAATTTAAAAGTCTTGTTTTCCGTAGATACATGCTTGAAGTTACAGTTTTTAGGGCAGACCATCAGTTAAAACTCATCAAAATTTTGCAGCTGTTAGAAGTTCATATACAGGTCCTGTGTATCAGGTAGTCTTCTGAATTATCTCAGTTGAGGGTCTGAATTGTTTATCTGCTTTCAGTAGGAGGTTGAACTAGAAAATCTCCTTGGAACCCTTCAAGCCCAGATTATTTCCTTATTCTCTTCATCCTGATTATTGACTTTGGAGCCTGGTGGCCTTCCCAGTGCTTTCCATAAAGCGTTTATTGCTTATGGAGTGGCTGCCCCTTACAAGGCTTTTCAAATTACTTTCAGTGAGGTCTGCTTTCCACAGTCTTAAGTAGTATCTCTTTAGACTTAGCAGTGCTGCTTTTGTGGCCTTTTTGAATTGTGAACTTGTTTCAGAGCCACTGTTTGGAGCAGAAACTACATAAAATGTTCTTGTTGAACATGAATTTTCTTCTGAAATAAAATAGCAAAAGTGCACAAGTTTTTACGTGACTAATCACTGCTACTAAATTCAACTTTATGAAATGAGTACACAGCTGATTAGTAAACCAGAATTTCCTTCACATAGTACACTTCTTTATTTAATGTGTTTGATGTATTTTCCATTCTTTCAGTGAATTTTTTAATTAACATCTTGGTTCTCAAATTTATCTTCTTCCATTAGAAAATGGGAAGAGAATTTCAGTTCCTTGTTTTAGAAAATAAATTGTGGTATTTCTTCAAAGATAAAGTTCATAAATCAATATTGTAACTGTACACATTCATAAGCTGGTTCTTTTCCCCCTCTTCCCAGGTACAATTTTGTTATGCTGGCGTTGTCTTTCACATTTCTGTGTATCTCTTATTTCTTGACTCACTGGCATGGCAGTGTGGGCTTTATTCTTGCCAACTGCTTTAACATGGGTATCCGAATAGCTCACAGCATCCACTATATCTATGATTACTTCAAAGAAAGCACTTACAGACCTCTGATGGGCTTGCTTCCCTCCCCATTTTTGGTGTTCATTTACATCATAAGTGGAGCGATCACTGGTTTCTCAGAGGTAAGCATCTTTCTTGAATTTTGCTTTCGCTGTGAAAATTCATGTTGAATGGGCTTTGTGACCCCAGGCAGAGAAATACCATTAGCAGAGGAATACCATTAGCTTATGAGGATAGACTGGAAGATTTTATTACAGGCAAGGCAAGATACAATATTAAGACATTTTACTTTTGATACGAAGTTCTCTCTGCCACCTGTAGAAGGTATATATGACAAGTACAATAAAATGTAACATTTCTGCTTTCTGTAGATAAATCTATATCCTTAGTTCTTAATAATTGAAGTTTTGCAGTAGCACAAACTGTTACTAAACATTCTGTAATAACAAAGCAGGAGAGGGAAAGCAAGCAAAACAAGAACAGAATAATTGCAAAGAGCATATTTATCACATTCAGTCAAAGATGGTAATTGCACAGACTAATTATTAGGGATATGGTAGCATTGCAGTGTACAAAAAATGTGACCATTCTGCCCTAGAAAGGAGAGCTTTGTATTTTGGAATGGGAGATTCCAGTTTTCCTAGAAAATAGCCCAATGCGTTGCTGCAAAGTGACAGCCTTTTGTGACAGCACTAGGAGAGTTTTCCTAATATCTAAATTAACATATTTCTGCAGGCCAGGTAATAGCTAATGTCCCCATTTACCAGGTAGCTTCTGAATGCTCAATTTTTGCTGACAGAAAGTCCTTAAGAAAGCAAATACTATGTCTGCTAAAAGCGATTTATTGGAGGATCAGCACATGCGGCAAAACCGTGCTCAGCTTCATGGTTGATGTTAGCATGGTCAAGAGAAGTGTTGGATCTTATTTTTTACTGCGACAGTAAATCTACCTTGTGCTGACTAGTTTTTCCTGCAATTGCTTGTTTCCTCTGTTGTAGGTGTTCTTCTGCTGCGATAAGGGTTGGATGCCAAGACTGATTCACATCAGCATGGGTGCTCTGTGCTTTGCCGCAACCATCGTTACTATGTTCTTCACAGAGACCAAGCTGATCCACTTTGTCAGAAGCCAGTTCCTGTCCCGATATATGAAGAAAGGAACATGAAATGCTCATGTGCGGAACAGTTCTTGTGTATGCTTGCAGTAAAGGGCTATATTTTTTCCATAAGATCAGTAGTGTCCTGGGTTCTGCAGAGAGATTGAGTTGTAAAGCAAGTGTGCAGGAAGTTCTGATGTTTACAACTCAATGAATGGGATACACAGCATGTGTCCATGCTAGCTGTGGAAGATCGGTTCATTGATCAGATTTATTTATGAGGGTGTTAATTAACTTGTCAAAAATAGCTGAAAGAGCAAAGGGATTTTGAGCAATGTTTGACAGAAGGTGTTAAGTACAGTCATATGCTGATCGTAAATTTTACTTTCACTCCATTGTTTTTTGGTTTGTTTGAGATTTGAAATGCCAGCACAATTTGCCTCAATAAAAATTTTGTCTTGTCTATGGAATTGGATGTTAAATATATTTCAAGGGTTTATGCATATTGAAACTTCCATTATTGGATAGAATTTGCTCTTTTTGTTGCAGCCAGTTTTCATGTCTTGTTCCTTTGTTCAAACTTAACCTTTATATTGATTTTTTTTCTTAATTGTTGAAAATGTGGACATTCTGAAGTTGCAAAATCAGATGTTAGGATGCTGGGTTTAATTTACTACTGGTGTATTTTCTTGCTGGTCTAAAATCTGAATTTGGCAGTTTCAGCCTGTACAAGTGGCATGTTTATAATGATCAGCATTCCCTTTGCAGTGTTTGGATGGACCAAAAAATGTCAAGCTATGAAAAAGTGTGTGCTCAGACATGTACAGTTGAAAGCTTTTAGTTTAGTTCTGTAACAACTCTGCAGATGCTCAGACCTCTTAAAAACCCACTTCACTGTAATAACATTGTGGAGTTCATCCTGGTAACAGTAGTCCCCAGTGTGAAATGCTTTCTGGTATCGGTGTCTTCGGTCTGGTACTGTTAGAAAGATTTCCTAAACTCTGATCATTTCCACTTGGAAATCACCAGAGATACTTTGTATGATTTGGTGTTTTACCAAATTACCTCAGAGAAGCCCAAGTGCAACAGTGGAAGGAAAGGTGCGCTCCCTCAGCTAATGGTGATGTCTCCATTGCTTGCCTGAAAGGTACTAGATAGAGACTTGCTGATTCTTCAGAAGTTGCTATGAAATCTGTTAAACCAAAATAGACTTATTGTGTCTCATGAAATGAATTTGGTAGTTCTTTGCCTTTTAAATTTCTAAATTCTGAGTTGTCTTGCATTTCTGTCAGCTATGGAGTACAGCTCCTTATATTGCAGGGGGTTGAAACTTCTGTATCATAGATTATCATTGCATACAGTTTATTTCCTTTATTGACTTGTTTACAATTCCATAAAAAAACCCCAAGGTACTTGAACTTCTGAACTCTTTCTAGGTCTGTCTTTTTCTCCATGACTTTGGGGCTTTACCTTGGGAATATGTCAATCTGTACAATGCATTTTAATAATTACTTGGAGTGAGAAGTTTTATGTAGCCCTCACTTCAAGTGCTTTGGAGATTGAAGTACTTGTATAAAATGAGCTTGAGTAATGCTGCCTTGTCTAGTGTTAGAATCCCAGCTGTGCAGTGGTATTATTTTTGCCAGTGTTATCACACGTATGATGATGTGAGATCTCACTGTTCCAATAGTGAGCTGTTTAGTCTCATAAATCTTTCTTAACGTAAATGCTTTGTATGCATTTAAAGAGAAGTTACATTTTTAAGCTAATTCATTTTATTTCATAGGGGAAAGGCTTACAAATATCTCTTGCATCCCAACAAATTAATGGAATTTCATATGAATCAGGAAGACATTTAAGGTGGCATAATTTTTGTGTATTTGCAAATTAAGGATACATTCCTCTTTTAAACTTTAACTGTAAACAGTTCAGTGGTGGTTGGCTGGGTTTTATCTTGGGCTTTATTTGATTTTGATATGTTTTATGAGGCAGGAAGTATAGACCTATAAAGATGTCTCCTGGTTTCTTATTTATCTGTGTGATCCTTAATGTGAAAGCTGTTAATTGCTTTATTTCTAAAGCAGCAAACTGTCAAACACAGGGACAAAGTTGAGATTTGAGCTTGACCAAATTTCCCTTTTGATTACAGTTCTGTCAGGTGTGCTGTCAAAGGCACAATGGGATGCTTGTGTGTATATTTCACGAAGCTGTTCTGCAATGTTCTGAAATCCTTTCCTTCAAACCAAAAGAGAATTAAAGTGCTTTATTTGGAGAAAAATTATTTCATACATAGTGGTGTGTTTTTCCTAATAGCTGGATGAATGACAGAATAATAACTGTAAGCTGGTTATATATTAGGGTAACACCAAATAAAATTTATTTCCCTTACATTCTGTTTTTGTCTTCCACTTGAGGCTTGTTGGAGTGTTACTTGTATCTTTGGTACAGTCGATGCTTAAATTTGGTTGCATTTTCTAGGATCATTTATGTATAAATTCATTTGTCAATCTAGAAACTTACACATCATTTCCTAATAGATATATATTTTGGTGAGAAGTGGCATCATTACAGTCACTTTTTTTCTCCTGTGTTCTTGTCAAAATATATGTTTGTATGGATTGGGATGGCCAAGTTTTTAGCTTGCTTTTAAGCAGTGCCTTGTGATAAAACCTGTTTTATGCTAGGAGTAAGCCTGATACTTAATTAAGTTTAACTTAACTATGCTGCAACTGGTTGTGCTAGCGTTAGGTACCAAGGAGCCATTCACTTACTGTTATTTTCTAGTGTTGTAAATATTTTATTTGTAAAAAATAAGGGCAGGGGGGAGCATGTGCATATCTATTTGGGGTTTTTTTAAGGAGAAGAAATTGGGAGTTAAAGCTTTACCTTAATGGTTCATCTGCTTTCATAGTGGTTCATCTGCTGTGAAAAGCAATAGATGTAAGCTTGAATGTTGACCATAGTCTAGCATCCAGAAGAGGTGTTGACTGATGCAGTTTGGATGGAGGATGTCCTGAGTGTGAGTACCTTGAGCTCAGCTGGCTTCTGGAGAGTGCTTGGATCTAAACTTTAAAATTGTTTTTGCAGATGTTGTATGTCTTTCTGTTTGAACATCACAGTTTTTTGTGGTTTAATTACCCTTATTTTAATATGGATGAGAGAGGACTGAAGTCTTTATGAACCATATCAGTCCATCAATAGATCTGCTGAGATGCAATGATTTTGTTCGGCACAAAATACACAACTCATTTGCATTCTGATCGTGCTATGTAAATGTAGTTCTTTTTCATTGTAAGCTTAAAATGAAGTTTGAGGCCCTCCACATCTGAGGTACAGCTGGGCCATGAAAGCTAAGCACACAGCATGCTCAAAACGTTACCAGCTGGGGCATCTGAACAAATCAGTGCTAGGAAGTGCTTATCTCTGTTGCAGTTTGCATTACCTCCACAGAAAGATGGTTGTTCTCTTCAGTAATGGATCTGAACTGTGGTTCATGCACTACCTTGCTGTGGTCTAGGAGGAGGAATGCACTCGGTTCAGTGGGATGTCGGTAACTGCACGCTGCTGGTAGTGTTGTTCACGGAATCTGATGAGTCTGCACTTTCTTTTGCAGCTGGAGTAGGGTGGTCGCTTTTCCTGCTGTAATTGTGGAGCAAAGTAAAACAACACTGGTTTTCTGTTTTATTTTGTCAGACTTTTGGTTTGAGTGTGGGAAGCGAGCATCTGATGGTGTTGATTTGCTAGGTAGGTTCTGTGATTCAAAGATAGGTCTGTGTTCAGCATGACTTCCATCTCCTTGGACTGAGAAAATGGAAAGGAATATAACCAAGAGGACAGGTGTGTTATACATGTAACCCATTTCAGAAGACTGAAATAATTAAAGCTGTGTCAAAAAGAAGAAAAATGAAGAGCGGTTTTAAGCACAGTTAAGATGTATGAGTAGTTCCAATTGACCAGTAAATAAGAATCACGTTCTGGTTTTCATACCACACTTTGGTGAGACATCTTCAAAAAGGGAAGAACATAACAGAGCTAAGGAGAAGAATGCAGAGGTTTGCCTGTAACTTTAGTGAAGGCAGGAATATTTCAGACTCTCACTTCCTTCATGGCTCCTTCCTGGGAAAGGGAGGAGTGTGAAAAGTGCCCTGATGCTGTCCTATAACATTCCAGCTTACCCTTGCACTGCGTGGAGTATTATTTGAGCAAAGCCCATGTATGGTAATTCAGAACAAGGTTTAGACACTGTCACTTGCACTTTACTACCTAATTCTGGACTTATAATCATAGAATCATAGAATAGTTAGGGTTGGAAAGGACCTTAAGATCATGTTCCAACCCCCCTGCCATGGGCAGGGACACCTCGCTCTAAACCATATTACCCAAGGCCTCGTTAAAAGTTTGTGTTCAAGGTGAAAAGGTGTTCATGCGGTCACAGCAAAGAAAAAGGAAACACTAATTGTTTAAAAAATACCATGGGCATGAATTTAAGTTCCTAAGTTGCACAAATCATCTGATGCTGAAGTCAAGTCTGGAAAAGAAAGGATCAAAGCCAGGAGGTGTTAAGCAAATATATTTTTCCAATAAAAAATGGTTTCTGTCACCTGAATTGAAATATGCAATGTAAAACTAGTTCCCTGGTAACTCTGAACAATTTATGAAGGGTTCTGACTGGTTGGTTGGGTATTTTCCCCCCCACAGCTGTGAATTAGGTGGAAAAATACTGCAGCTGAACAGAATGTTGTTTTGTCACTAGAAAATTCACTGCTGGCATTGAATTCAGCCTGAAAAAGTAAAGAGGTCATGACACACCATCTGTTTTGTGGAGAGCATAGTTATTACCGCCAGTAATACTGCAAACACTGGAGTGGAAAAAATAACTCCAGAGCAGAGATGCCTTTTTGACCATTGTTCTATGGATTGTGGTAGTTGAATTTCCCCTAGATGTACGTTTGGGAGGTAAGTTTGAACAAATACGCTGCTCAAACATAGGGTGGAGCTGTTTCTTTGTAATAGAATTTCCACCTCATGATCTTCACAAGTCTTTTTTCCCCCCCTTGCCATGTTTTCAGTGTTGCCAGTGATTTTACAGGCAGTATGCTGGAGGCATGTGACTAAGGCTTCTTAAAGGCCTGTA